CATGAATAATCCTCATCTTTAATAACTACAATAAGAATATGAAGAATGTTTAAAATATAATATACCTTATATTTAAAGAAATGGAATTCAATCAGATTATAATTTTGATGCTAGAAATCAAGCTATAAACGATTTATTAATATGATAATTATGTATAATATATTCAAATCATTTAAATTTTCAACTTGGATTATTTCATGTCAATTACCTATTTTTTATAAAAAATGCAATCTGTTTTTTTTATATATTTCAATTAAAATCCCATTTAACATCACATGTTGAATTCTTATACAAACAAATAAAGAAAGCGATTTCAAGAGAACAGGTCTCGCTACCTGCAATAAGCTTAGCCTGATGAAAGTGTTTCTTCAAATACTGAATTAGAACCTTAATAATAGGATATTCGAGTCAGATTGGAGAGACCTTCAAAAAAGAAGGTTTCAGTTAAGATTCGTAACTTGGACATTGATAGTGATATTATTAAAGAGGAGAATAGTGAGGATTATGCAAGTGAGAAATAATCTAAAGATCAAATCAATCATTAAGAATCTAATGCAGTACTTAACTTAATTCCTGAAGAAGAAATTGACAGTCCCTTCAAAAGTCGAATAAATTAAAATAAAGAAATTCTTTGGAAATCTAGTAATTAAGAAAGTCAAAATGTAGAAGTGTAATTATTTAATACACCTAAACAACAACAAGGAGCAGATTCACCTAAAATTGAAAATGCTATAAAATCTTATAAAAATCTTAATACTATGAACAGTCTTTACTCTCCAGTAAAAGCATCTCAAAAACTCATAATAAATGATGATACAATCTATCAGCATTATAATATATTTTAAAGATTATTCCTTTATCATATATTTTGTTACATGAAACAAATGAAAAAATTCATTGAATCATCCACTTAAAAAATTAGTGTGGCTCATTTACCAAAACAAGCCTATAGAGATTCAATTTAATATAATTTAAAAAGAGTATATGAGTAAATTAAAAACAATGTAAATATTTTAATGAATATTCTTAGGATTTATATAATTTTAATAATAGAGCTCTCTTTAAATTGTTTTTCTGGTAAGACAATAAGTATGTCACAATGATGATAGTAATTCTTGCTATGTTTGAGACTTATTCAAGATTTGTTATGGCAATTCTGACTGAAACCTTGATTTCTGCAATAACAGAAAATGATATGAACAGTGCCTATTTACAGGCTACTGCTCTAGCAATACTTTCATTGCTTGCCTTAATGAGTAAGCATTAATAATAGTATAAAAATAAAAACATTATTTAGGTACTTGATAAGTAATTTTGCAACAAAAATAAGGATGGTTTTTATCAATTTAATTTATGATAGAATAATTGAATTAAATTCAACATAAATATCAATGTTAAATGTAGGAAAGATAATGAATCTTGTTAGTAGTGATCTAAATGTAATTGAATATCAATTAGCCTTTATATATTAAGTGGCTGTGATACCAGGATCATTAATATTTACATCAATAATTTTATGGGTATGAAATTTATAAATTTTAGTTAAGATTTGATGGTCCTCTAGGATTGGTTGCTATTATATTTTGTGCCATTTTGTATCCTTTATAAATACTGATTTAGAATATCAATAAGAAATTATTACTTTAAACACGAAAGTTATAAGATCAAAGAATTCAGTAAACAAATACTGTAATTGAAGGAATTAAATATATTAAAATGTATGTATGGGAAACGATATTTGAAAATAAGATCAATATTATAAGAAAAAAAGAATTTTTCTAATATTTAAATATTCATGTATTAAATTTATTAGATCGTTCTTTCAACTTTAGTGTACACATATGGGGATCATTTTGTTTTATTTTAATATTATATGCCTGTGATACTCATTTAACTATATCAACTATTATGGGAACAATTTAATTAATGTCTATGATCAAATACTATTGCATATTTTAAGTATCCTATGCATTTTAGGCACTTATGAATTTTAGTGTTATATTTTCAAGAGTGTCTGAAATACTTAAATAATAATCAAATAACATTACAACAATTGATTAATTTAAAACTACTTTTACAACATATGATATTCAACATTAACCAATGCAATAATTATTAATGGATAGAACTAGAGGACTCAATCGTAAAGGCAGTTTGACTTTATTATCAACATCTCTAGTTACTATAAATTAATATTCTGGTAGATGGTCAAAGGATGGTACTCCAGTAATTAGTTCAATTAATTTAGATATCAAATCTGGGGAAATTATGGGGATTGTAGGAAAAGTAGGAGCAGGTAAATCTACACTTTTAGCAGCAATACTTTAAGAATTACCATATTATGAAGGAAGTATAATCTAATCAAAAAAGTTGAAACTTGCATATGTTGAACAAGAACCTTTTATTTATACAGGGACTATTAAAGAAAATATTTTATTTGGGAAAGATTATGATTAAGTACTTTACCTTAAAGTATTGGAAGTGAGTTGTTTAGATTAAGATATTTTATCTTTTAGACAAGGAGACAAAACAGAAATAGGTGAAAAAGGAGCTAATCTATCAGGAGGATAAAGGGCAAGATTAAGTTTGGCAAGAGCATTATATTCATAAGCTGATTTATATCTTTTTGATGATCCTCTTTCTGCAGTTGATTCAAAAGTAGCTGGGAAAATATTTGATAATGCAATAAAAGATTTTATTTTTAAATTTTAACCTAATTACAGACCTACATTAATTAAGACTCATTAAGCTTTTATATAATAAACACCAGCTGTTATTTTGGCTACACATTAAATTTCATATGCATTAGAATGTGACTATGTAGTAATTATGGATGGAGGTATGATTACTCATTAGGGTTAAAAGAATAAGATGAAAAAACATATATTGGAAATCACAAGTGCTCATACAAGTAATACAAATGTTGATAATCCAATCAGATCTTTAAAAATCAGAAGACCTAGTAAATTAATGGGTAAGGTGGTCAATTAAATGTAAAAATCAAATAAAGATGAAACTTAAACTTTATATATAACTGAAGATTAAAATTAATCAGATGCTACATTTGATACTTATAAAAGATATTTTAGTTATTGGAAACCTTTTATTTTAATATTTATTATATTATGCTAAAATATAGCAAGTGAAATAATAAATAATTACTATTATAAAGAAATGGCTTCATTTGATGAAGATAGATAACGAGATAATGATTAAATATTTTACAATGCAGCTATTTTAGTACTAGCAGCCTATTTTAATAATATAATAAAGTATTTTTTAAATATTTTTGGAGTTCTTACTTCAAATAATACTATTCATAATTAAATGTTAAAAAGGTTAATCTTATCACCTATTACTTATTTTGATACTAATTCTTCTGGAAGATTGATCAATCGCTTTTCAACTGATTTATCATTAGCAGATACTTAAATATAATAAACAATTACGGATATATTTGAATAAGGATCACAATTTTTAGTATCTCTTGTAACCATAGCTATTCTTTAACCATATTTTACATTTGCTGCTATTTTTACAATAATAAGCACAATTTTAATTTTTAGAATAACAAGATCAGTTGTTTCTTAATTAAAGATATGTGATTTAATATAAAGATCTCCTTTATTTGATTAATTTAAAATAACTATTAATGGAGTAACTTAAATAAGAATAAATGAGAATTAATCATGGATTAAGGAAAAATTTATTAAATTATCTAATTAATCTATGTAGGCTAATCTAATATTTTTGTATTCATAAAGATGTTTTGGATTTTATATTGATTTATTTGGTTAATTTGCTAATATATCTGGAATCTTTTTGATTATAGGAATGGTATCTGATCCTACCATTTTCTCATAAGCATTATTACTCTTATCAACTTTTAATACTTAAGCAGGTACATTAAGATAATTTATGGCATTTGATTCAATGATGAATAGTGTTAATAGAATGTTTGAAATATGTGATTTGGAAATTGAAAAAGAAGAACCAACAGGTGAATTAGAGATTAAGAATTGGCCAAAGTTGGGTTCTATTGTCTATTCAAATGTTAAAATGTAATATAGAGAGAACACTCCCTTAGTATTAAAGGGAATGAACTTTTATATTAAAGATAAAGAAAAAGTTGGGATAGTTGGAAGAACTGGAGCTGGTAAATCATCAGTCATTTCAAGTCTTTTTAGATTAAACTCTATTGAGAATAGTGGGTATTTGATATGTTGATATTTATTAGTGTAATCTCAATAGATGATTAAGATATTCGCAAAATTAATTTATACAAGTTAAGAAAAGAAATAAGTATCATTCCTCAAGTTCCTTTTCTTTTCAAAGGTACATTGAGAGAGAATCTAGATCCTTTTTAAAATTTTGATGATAAAACATTATTGAATGTTTTATCAGATACAGGATTAGAAGGTTTTATCTAATAGCTACCAAATGGTCTCGAACATTAAATAGAACCTGAATTCTTTTCGATTGGTTAGAAATAATTAATCTGTTTAAGTCGGGTTTTATTAAATAAAAAGAAGATTTTGATTTTAGATGAAGCGACTGCAAATGTTGACATGATTACTGACTTTTTAATTTAGTAAATAATCAAAGATAAATTTAATGATTGCACAATATTTACTATAGCACATAGATTAAATACAATAGCAGATTATGATAAAGTTCTAGTTTTAGAAGATGGTAAAGTACTTGAGGAAGGACATCCTTATGAATTATTAGTCCAAAATCCAAAGGTTTCAACATACATAAATAGTGACTCTGCATTTGCTAAGATGGTGCTTCAGACAGGACATAAGAATAGTAGCTAAATATATGCAACAGCAAGGAGAAGTTACTTAGAGAAAAATGAGATTTAGAGTAAAAGTAATTGTAATAGTAATATCCTGGATGTATCTCTTAGCAGTATTAATGAATTCAACATTTGATACTGTTTAATAAGATATATTTGATGATATTTATTTATTAAAATTTGTTATCCTCAGAAATAATTCATAATTTTGGATCTAGATACATTCTTTCAATTTCTCCATACCATTTTTTTTCAACTATTTTTCTTTTCAATTTTAGTGTTGGAGTTAATTCTCCAGTCTCAATTGAAAAATCTCCTTCAATAATTATCCACTTTCTAATTTATTATGCTTTAGAAATCACTTATTAATTTGTTTTATCTATCAAAGATTAAATATATTATTTAATAAGAGGATCTAATTTTGCTTCTTCAACAGTTGTAGCCTAAGAACCTTGAGCATTAAATTCAGAGATAACTTCTGCTGTTAATTTTCCTTTTCCTGATAAATCTTGCTTTAAAGTTAGTAGTACAGATAAGTACTTTCGATTATCACCAATCACCATGCAATTTGAGACAAATTCAAGATTTTTCTTAATCTCATTTTCAATAAGTATAGGTGCTACATTCTCTCCTCCAGCAGTAATTATCAATTCTTTTATTCTACCAGTAATAATTAGATTTCCTTTCTAATCTATTTTTCCAATATCTCCTGAATGGAGAAATCCAGATTCATCTATTGTTTATCTAGTTGATGCATCATCTTTAAAGTAACCCATAAATATATGTCTCCCTTTATAACAGATTTCTCCATTTCCATCTTTATCAGGATTAAAGATTTTCATTTCAGTACCTTCTATAGCTGAACCAGCACTACTCATAAAGAAACTATCAAATTATGAGAAATTCTCTGGTAAAGATAGTGTCTAAACACCTCCACATTCACTCATTCCATATGCATTGATCAGATACCTAAAGTAATCCATTCAATTTTACATATTTAATGATAAGAAATATTCTCTTATTTCAGGACTTAAGGGAGCTGCACCAAAAAGTAAGTATGCTGCTTTATCTAATCCTAATGCTTTTTTCACCTATAGATAAACTATTTTTTCAGCTAAACCAAAACAAGTAGGAGGATCTTAATCATGAGTTTATGCAAAGGTACCAATTTTACCTAAAGATTTAGCCCAATTGGCTATCATTGTCTTAATTATTCCATTTGATTTAGCTACTTTTTGCATCTCTTCATAGATTTTCTCCCAAACTCTTGGTACACCCAAAAAAAATGTTGGTCTTACTTCTTTTAGAGTATTTATTAAAGAACCCTATAATGCATCTGGATTTGCAAAAAACAAGTGACCACCCCATCTAAATATGCCAATTAAATCTACTAATTATGCTGCTACATGACTTAAAGGTAGATAACTTACTATTCTATATCCATCATCAATTTTATATTTTTTAAGATGTTATGCAACAATAAACATGTAATTGTCATGAGAAAGCATGACTCCTTTAGGATTACCTGTTGTTCCAGAAGTATAAATTAAAGTACAACAATTTCCAGGTTACAATTAGCTGGTTCTTTAGTTAATCAAATCAAGATTTTTAGATTTTTTTCCTATTTATATAAAATCATCCCAATTATAGACCTTCCTATTAGGAGGAATATTTTTTATATGATGTACATTATCATTATAGAGTACAATAGCTTTCAATTTAGGTAATCGATCCCAAATAGAAAGATACTTATTTAATTATTCTCTAGTATCTGCTACAAGTAATTCACATTCAGAATGTTCACTTACATAAAGACATGCTTCTGGATTATTTGTTGTATAGATTCCAACAGGAAGATTATGAGCATGTATACTACCCATAAAAGCAATATTCCATTCAGGGGCATTGAAACCAATAATATTTACTGCGCTTAATTTAGTTATGTTTAATTCAATTAATGTTGAAGCAAAATCAAGAACTGCACTGTAATATTCTCCGTAACTCATTGTTTACCATATCTTATTACGTTTAACAGAAAGAGCAGGTAAATTAATGAATTAAGTGCAATCTTATTTGAATGCTTCAGGGATTGTAATAGGTTTTGGGTCATCCATACCTCGAATAGGTAGTTCATGTGTAAAGTCTGTGGTCCAGTCTATATGTTTTCTTGGATCTTATTAATCATAAGAATTTAAGATTCTATAAAATCCTTTTTCAGAGATTTACATTTATAATAATAATGAATGAGTAATTACGATTTCTTAAACTTGAAGAATCTATTGAATAACTGAGCAAATCATTTATACCTCATCTTGATTAGATTTCTTAGATGTAATAAAAATTATCAGCTTTGGATGTTTTTATAACCAATAATCCAAGAGTTGATTTGATAAGTGATACCATTTAACTTCTAAATTCTTAATTAAAGATTTAAGAAAGATTAAGTTCAATTGAATCATAACATTCCAAATTCAGTAGTCATTATGATGAAATTCTAAATAGACATTCTGTTTACATTATGTAAATTCAACCTTGGATTGATGAAATGCATAGGTAATAATTTAATGAAATATTTATTATAGTATTTTAGAGGAAGCCAAACAAAATAGAGATATGAATAATCAATTGAGAATAAATTTCAAAGAAATGAATTAAAAACATAAAGAATATACTGGAATACTATTGTAAAATGATAGATTAACTTAAAATTATAAGACTCGTCTTGATCAATTTGAAACATAATTGGCTTCTAAAATAGATCATTCAGAAATAACTAAAGTATAAGATTTAATGAGAAGAGATTTTGTAACTTGTATTGAATTAGATAATATCAAGAATTAGATTCAGTAAAGAATAGATAGATTGTAAGGAGAAATGTGTACTAAATAATAATTAGGAATTGTTTAAGATAATATATAATTTATAAAAGATAGATAAGTGTTAGTCTTAAGTGAATTAGTTGATAAGAAAGTTGAAGATCTTGCTAATAATAAATTAAAAGTATATGCAACAAAAAATGATTAAAGAGTCTTTGAAGATAGAGTAAATTAAGTATGTAAGATTTTATCAGAGAAAATATTGATGATATAAAAAGAAACAACAGAAGAACATAAGTTAATGTAAGAATAAGTCAAAGAGTAGAATTAATAATAAAATGACTTAAAATCATAATTACATATTATTAATTCTACTTTCTAAAAAGTTGTTATGAAAGATGAATTATAAATAGCAATGTAAAAAACTTTACGATTACAAAGAGAATCTGAATATTTAAATGAAAAATTAGAATCAATAAGTGCTGAAATATTTGAATAGAAAGTCTCATTTCAATAATTTAATAAATAGAAGAATTTAGAAATATAAACTTTATAACATTAATTAATTCAAAAAGAAGGTGAAAGTGTTACTTATTGTGAAAGTCCAAAAAGAGCTGAAATTTCTTAAGAAGAAATGGAAAGTGGTCAATCATCTCCTAGGAAAAAGATTAGAAAATCAGCAATTCTATCTAGATAAGGATCTATTCTAAATTCTGATATGATGTAGAGAATATTTTAAAGATCAGATGCTAGAATTTAGGAATTATAAAATTAATTAGATGAAATTAGATAAAGATTGCCTAAAGCAAGTAAATTTTAAGAGAATGTTACATAACCTGTTTCAGACACAATAAATATTAGAATGGAATATTTTAATTAAATGATAATTCAATTATTAGAAGAAACAAAAAAGTTTAAAACTTAACATGAACTTTTAAATTAATAAATAATAGCTATAAATAATAAACCTTAAATAAAGGAAGAAACTCTTTAATAAATTGATGAAAAATTAAAATTCATTTAAGAATTAGAATTTAAACTTGATTAAAAATGTGATTCATCTTTAGTAATACCTATTTTAGATTCAAAAGCTAATGCTTAAGAATTTATGGAGACAAAATTATTATCTAAATAATTGAAATAATGTATTCTAGATACTATAAACAGTCTAAGAACCTTTTTTACTTCAGATTAAAATGATTAAATAAAGGATTTACTTATCAATTAATTAAGTCGATATCTATGTTATTTTGTTAGATAAATTGAAGGTAATCAATTAACATAAAGTGATTCTTAATAAAATCCATAATCTACAAAGTATTTATAACCCAAATACACAGCTTAAAGAGTAAAGTCATATTCATCATGTTCAAAAAGAAGAGAAACTGATTGTGAAATAAGAGGAAGAGCTGTTAATCGTAATATTACAGAGACTGCTGTATATAATTCATTGAGATCGTCTCCATTAGCATTTCGTTTAGTAAATTAAAATAAATAAAGTGCAACAATAGTGAAAAGAATGAAAGTATAATAATGATTGATATTTTACTTACTCAATTTAACTTAAAATATGATACATAATTATATTATTACATATGTACAGATAACTTAATTTGTAGGAGTTCTTCTGATTCAAATTTAACTGCTAATGATCCTAAATAATAATAAATAAATATATATAAACCTTATAATTTATCACCTTTATTTACAGGTATTTCTTCTCTAAAATATAAAATAACAGGTTTCCAAAATGGAGATTTAGTTGGACCCATAATAACATGAATTGGTAAATGAGTATAAGTGAATGAATATTTCATCCATACTATTATACCAGTTGCATAATCTTATCTCTTGATCTTTATTTAGTATTAATTACTAAAACTAAGATCTTCTAATTAACAATTTTGTAAATTAATCTCATAAATTAATTATTCATCACTATTTAATTATTCTTCTTTAATGCTTTCAAGAAGTGGTTCTTTTGTAATCCATTATTTCATCCATTTCATATTAACTCCATAAACAGAATCCCTACAAATTAATAATTAATAATACCAAAAATTAATCTTCATTTTCTTATATTAACTATCTTCAATTGATTATATATATAATTATCCTTTATCAGGCATAATAAATCCATCTTTATTTAAATATTTATCTCTTGCATAGATTACATCTTATATACATCCACCATAAATTAACATATTTCCCATCCAATCAGAAATAATAATATCTATTTTGCAATTTAATTCCACTTCTCTTATTTTCTCTTTATATAATGTAATATTCTATATATTATTCTATTTAATTATTTCATTAGCATAACTATTTGCTTTCATAGCTATAACTTATTTGGCTCCAGATTATGAAGCCAAAATACTAAGCAATCCCATACCTGAATTAAGATCTAATACAATTTTATCTTTAAATAAATGTTTATTTCTTGTAATTGCTTTAACAAATGGTTCAATACGATTACGATCATTATAAATTTCTTCATCATTTAAATTATCCATTAATATTTTAATAATAATAATATTTCAAATTGATATCTATTTTAATATAACTATTCATTATGTAAAATCAATTCTTGATATTAATATATATTTAATTCTTGAATTTATTTAAGATGAATTATTATATTATCACATTAATGTTTTAATTTGCTCAGTTAATTTATCTGTTGATTTTTTTTAAGGTATAATACCATTCTCCATTAAAAAGCATTCTATTCCTTCAACTGAATATTCCTTAAGAAATTCAACAATAGGAAATACTCCTTCTTATTTAAATTTCTCTAATTTATCAATATTATAATTTTATGGTAACCATAATAATCCTTATGGTAATCTTGATAGATCAATATTTCTACAATATTAAAAGTGTTGATTTGTATTAACAAGAACAAAATGTACTTAACTAATAAAATACTAAATTTGTACTTAAATTTATTTGATGCTTTAATGAATGCAGTTCTATAAATATCAAAATAGGGTTCTCCAGGTGGATAGATTAATTAAAATACTGGTTTAGTTTATAATAGATTATAGATTTCTTCATCTTATCCATTAAATTAATAAAGAGTAGATGTATCTAATTTTTCAGATTGATTGATTCCCAAATTGTATCCAGCATATCCAGAGAATAACATTACAAAGAATCCAACTCGATTTTTCACCTTTCTTTGTCCATAGGCAATATCATATAAATATTTCTTGAGTGTAAACATAAATTAAATTAATCACAATGGTAGTAAAAGCTTAGATTTAAGTATAGACACATTTTCTATATCATTTAATAATAATCCTGTAAGAAGGAGTAATCCAAAACTTAATAACATATTCAATACTATTAATAAAATTGCAAATATGCTTAAATCTAAATAGCTTAAAGTAAAAATTTCAATTATGATTCCAAAGGTCACTAAAATTAGAATGTAAATCAATGTATATTTGTGTTTCAACATTATTGAAAATAATATAATCATAATGTAAGTAACACTAATATCAGGAGTGATGAAATTAATCATCATTGAAATTACCTATCATTTATGATTAGACAAAATACTGCTATTATTGTTGCTAATATATCTATTCTAGCCATAATAGGATATGAATACAATTTCCTTTCTGGTTCAATTACTATCTTTTTGAATCCAAGAGCAGATGAAGTATTTCTAAAAGCTGTAGCTTAAAGTGATGGCGGTTAGAGAGTACTTTTATCAGGAATATTTTAAAATATTTCAGTATTTAGATGAGATCTATTTGTGTATTTAGGTTAGATATTGGCATCTCTAAAAAAGGGTTTGCTTAATTCATGTAATTAAGATTACAGAAGAAATAATTCTTCTTAACATAATTAAGTTTGATTATCTAGAAACTACATTTTCTCATCAATCAACTCTTTATAATTGTTACCAATACTCAACATACATTATAATTAAATTAATGTATGACAATTAACATTAACATTTTACATTTATAATTCTGCCTCCTTCATTTCATTCATAGGTAAAGCTTCACAAGGTAATTACAAACTTGCAATAATATTATGATTTTCTAATAATTCAACTTTTAAATCTGCAACAAGAGATTTCACTGGAATCTAAACATCTAAACTCCATTCAAACCAACCATCCTTCCTTGTCTGTATCTCACTTTCATGTATGAATTCTCCAATTAAAACAACTATATAAGGTCTTTGTACATAAGATTCTTGTATTCTTATATAGCTAATGTGAAGATTTGTTATTTTTCCATAAGGTTTGATTTATTTTAGATAGGCTTTCTACTCTTCCATATACATTTCTCTATTCATTGCATTATTGTATTTATTAATGATAATATCATTTGCTTCATAGATTACATGACCTAATGTTTATATTGTTAAGGAAGTATTATAAGAAGCAACTCTCTCAAATAATTCAACAGCAATTTCATAATTAAATTCTTAATGTCCATTTTACATGCTCATTTAATTTAACATTTTAGTAGCTTCTATCTGATTCATTTCTTCGTCTTAACTTTTATGACAAAATTCCATTAGATGCTAAACTATTTAATCATAACTTAAAACTTTTTCCATTCAAATTAATTTATATTTTGTAAATATTAAAAATAACAATAAAAAATTTTTTATTTGGCATTAATAAAAAATAAGTATTACTATTTACAAGACTCCTTATAAACTAAATATCTTTCTATGAAATTCTTTCTAAAAACTTAATTATTTTTTATTTTCTCTACCTTTTTAAAATTAAGAATGTAATCAATCTTAAGTTTTTACATTCTACTTATTTTTATATGTTTGTTATTATTATTATTATTATTATTATTATTATTATTATTATTATTATTATTATTATTATTATTATTATTATTATTATTATTATTATTATTATTATTTGAAATATTCTTTAATCTATTATTAAATCATACAAATATACAGTATACTAAATAAAATTCCCATTTCTTAAATTGATTCATAATAAAAATGATAAAAAATTTAATTGAAAATGCCAAATTAACAGCATAAAAAGTGATGACCAAAGAATAGTAACATAAACAGTAATAAATTGAATCCTTTCCTACTTTTGACTAATTAGCTTTTAAAAATTATAATATTCCAAAAGATAATTTATGGTAATACTCTATTGAAGATTTTTCAAATATTCTTCATTAAATGGAAGATTATATAATTAGACTTTAAAGAGGATATGATGATGTTTGTTAATAATTTTTACCTATGTTTAATAAATTTGAAATGCTTGAAAAAGAAAGGAAAAGAATGGCTTAAGAATTATCAGAAAAAGAGAATCATTGTAAAGAATTAGAACAAGCCATGATAGAAATGTAGGCTGATGCTGATAATGAATTAAGAAAGAAAGAAATTATTGAATGCGAATTAGAATAATCGAAAAAAGAATTATAAACTATTTAAGCATAAATAAACTGGAATAATAATTAAATAGATGATAAAGAGTTATAAGAAATTAATGCTGCATTTATTGATCTAGATAAAAGTAATGATGAATAATATAAATAAAGAATAGAAGCATTATAAAAAGAAATATAAGAATATATATAATTAAATAAGGATTAACTTCATAAAATAAACTTATAAGTCTAAGAAATTGATAAATAGAGTTAAGAAAATAGATAAATTAATAGGAATTATAATATGGTATTATAATAATTAGCAGATTAATAATCAAAGAGTAGATAGGAAATTGAATCAAAATAATAATAAATCAATTTACTTATAAAAGAAAACAATAAATTAATCAACTAATTATAATAATTAGATTAACAAAGAACTATTGAATTATAAATATAATTAGAAAATACTAAATAAAAAGAAGAAATCTAAGATTTAAGGAAAATTATTATAAAAAAAGGAGAAGAAATAAAGGCACTTAATGATTAAATTTTAATTGAAAAATAATAATAACAATAATTAAACGATTTGATTAAAGTTTTAAAAGGGAAACGAGATGTAGCTATAAGTGAAATCACTTAAATGTAATCTAAATAATAAGTTGATAATTCATAATCTATTACTTAACAGAAACTAAAATAAATTAGATTTTAAATTTAGAATAAACTTATATAAAAGAGAAAAGAATTCGAAAACATGTATAAATAATATTTAACATTAATTTGTAAACTTGAAGATAATACGCTTTCAAATGACTTAATGAAATTAGAATCAACTATTAATAAAATAGTAATAGATATGTAAGATTTAGTTGATGAAGTTGAAGATTTAATGAGTTGATTTTATAAATAAATTAAATGTTTTATTTTTGAAATTTAAAAGTATTTATAACTATTTCTAGTCTATAAAAAGTAATCTTAGGATGTACAATAATATTTTATCTCTTTCTCTATTAAACAATCAGTGTTATTTTTATAAATAGAATATATATAATTTAAGACTATGTTTTTACTTCTAAATGAAAATTTTTAAAAGAGTATATTTTAATCTTATCTTATCTATCATTTTATAAAAAAGATAGAATTACTTGAGTTAAAATAGATTTATTGTAAAATTATTTTGTAATTCAAATTGTAAAGTATTTTTTCAACATTTTAATATAATTATTTTTATTTTCTTATTTTTAAAATACCAATCAATAGATTTAATATTAATGAAAGATATTATTATTAAAAATCAAATAAGTCATATAACAAACATTATAATCAAACTGTATATAATTTAATTTCAATATTTTTGTTCCTTTTTTTATGTATTCATACATGTATTTCGACTTGAGATACCTGAGAATGGTTTCAAATAGCAAATTTAAAGCATTCTTTTTGTTAAATTTCTAGCAGTCTATACTTATTACTCTAATTTATAATTTTAATTAGATTTGCCTCTTCTTGGACTACTGTTTTTGGAAGAATAATCAAAAGTTTCTAGGTTTGGAGCTGATGATCTTAAAGAAATTGGCTTTAGAATTAATTATGTTTATTCAGTTTAGAGATTAGTGATTTTTTTTTGAGGTGATTCATAAAGATATGGTTTTAAATTTATTAGAGGAGGAGACACTAATTTTTAGTTTTGTTTATATTTCTTTGATAATGGACTCTCAATTTTCTATTATTACTTTTTAGGACTAATATCAGGAATTGAGAGTAATGTAGTTGTGGATTTTAATGATTTTGTTGAAATAGTTAATTATGATTACTATTGCTATTATAAAATTAAGCTTGACCATAATTCTTTGGAAGATTGTTCTTATTTTTAATATACATTATGGAATTTTTTTATCTTTGTTGATCTTTTACCACATTCATTACAGGAACAGCTCAATCTTCTTTATCGAGAATCATCAATCTCAAACATTTTTTCCTTGAAGTTTTTATTTTTTTACTACTTATTTGAGTTTCTAATCACTTAATCAATAAGCACTGTTTTATGGTAAAAGAGTAATCTTCTTTAAATTTCCTTGCCTTCTGTTTTTACAATGGATGCTTGAGAAACTCTATGTTTTGGTACTTCTGCGAAATCAAAATATTGTGATGCATTTAAACTTCGAGCTAGAATGATAATATTAATATATTACATCTCTATTTTTTTACTTTAAGAGAACCCTAACTAAATTTATTAGATTTCATTAGAAGAATCTAATTATATTATAATTATTATTTCAATAAGATGGATATAGGTACAAGGAAAAAGTCATTTAAATTTCATGTTAAATCAGCTAGCACATCTAATATGTTTGCAAGTCCATAATCAACAAATACTCCTGTTACTGGAAGGTCTGTTGCATAATTTGTTTCTATACCCTTTCTTTCTTTTAAATAATGTGAGATGAAGAAGTACATATTAAATGAAGAGAAGGAATATCTCAAAAGAAAGCAGATCATAGAATCAGGTTATTTAACATAGAGAGGTATGTCAAAGTTTTTAAAACCTAATCGTAATTACATCATTCTTTATTTAGGATTGAAATGGCAAAAAAATGACTTAAAAATTCATGATACCATTTTAAAAACTAAATTAAATATAGCAGATATTATTTTAAATGCTAAAGGAGGATAATCTCGTAGAGAATTTTTAATTGAAAAAATACAGAATTAAATTGAAAGTCCTTAATAAATTATTAGTCAAAGAACTATTAAAAGTGAACATACAGTTTAAATATTTATGGATCGATTGAAATTTTAATCAATGCCATAAAAACTAAAAGGAGAATCTTAATCCCCTTCAAGGTCAATTTAATCTTAAAAGTTTATCTTCAATTCTTCAACAACCTATTAAACAGAATGATTATATAATATGAATAATAATTTTTAATGAATACTAAATTTAGTAAATGTTGATTTACTAAATTTATTCAATTTAAAAATTTCAAGTATTCTATATACCACAAATTTAATTAAATATTTCTATTATATCTATCAGATTCAAGTAAAATTTTATTTATAGAAACAATCTTATAAAATTAATATATGGAGAGACAAGTTTTCCATAATTAAAAATTCATATAACACTTCTATACAAAATTTTTATAATTATTTAAATGAAATTTTTAACTCTGAATTTGTTATATTTAATAGTTCAATGCTAACCAAACCAACATTAAAGTGATAGCAATGACCATGTATCCGATTAACACTCTTATAACGACGAATATTAATTTAACCCAATCGAAGAAAATAATCCAATAGATCTTGAATAATTAGTTTACACAATTCTAATATTCTTAGGAATGTTTATTATTTATCGATCAAGAATATTTAAATCTAAAAATCAAACAAATATTGATAGGAATAATAATGATTTTAATTTAGATGAATTGAAATAAAGATTGGATAGCATAGCCTAAAAATTACAAAAAGAAAATATGAATTTGACTTACAGCTTTAATTAATAATGGGTCGAATAGAAAGTGAAAGAAGTTTCAGTTTAATAACATTTTGATAGATTAAATTTCCATCTTAAAGGTTCAGATTGTTATGGATCTTGGGTCTAGATAGGTGTTATTCATATTAGTCAAAATAATCAAATTGAAACATTTTCTAGAAAAATGTACGATGATTCTTCAATAAATGGTGGGGATGTATTGATTTATTAAGGATAATTTGATGATTAAGTTTTATCATGTAAAGGATATTGGTACNAACTAAATTAAATATAGCAGATATTATTTTAAATGCTAAAGGAGGATAATCTCGTAGAGAATTTTTAATTGAAAAAATACAGAATTAAATTGAAAGTCCTTAATAAATTATTAGTCAAAGAACTATTAAAAGTGAACATACAGTTTAAATATTTATGGATCGATTGAAATTTTAATCAATGCCATAAAAACTAAAAGGAGAATCTTAATCCCCTTCAAGGTCAATTTAATCTTAAAAGTTTATCTTCAATTCTTCAACAACCTATTAAACAGAATGATTATATAATATGAATAATAATTTTTAATGAATACTAAATTTAGTAAATGTTGATTTACTAAATTTATTCAATTTAAAAATTTCAAGTATTCTATATACCACAAATTTAATTAAATATTTCTATTATATCTATCAGATTCAAGTAAAATTTTATTTATAGAAACAATCTTATAAAATTAATATATGGAGAGACAAGTTTTCCATAATTAAAAATTCATATAACACTTCTATACAAAATTTTTATAATTATTTAAATGAAATTTTTAACTCTGAATTTGTTATATTTAATAGTTCAATGCTAACCAAACCAACATTAAAGTGATAGCAATGACCATGTATCCGATTAACACTCTTATAACGACGAATATTAATTTAACCCAATCGAAGAAAATAATCCAATAGATCTTGAATAATTAGTTTACACAATTCTAATATTCTTAGGAATGTTTATTATTTATCGATCAAGAATATTTAAATCTAAAAATCAAACAAATATTGATAGGAATAATAATGATTTTAATTTAGATGAATTGAAATAAAGATTGGATAGCATAGCCTAAAAATTACAAAAAGAAAATATGAATTTGACTTACAGCTTTAATTAATAATGGGTCGAATAGAAAGTGAAAGAAGTTTCAGTTTAATAACATTTTGATAGATTAAATTTCCATCTTAAAGGTTCAGATTGTTATGGATCTTGGGTCTAGATAGGTGTTATTCATATTAGTCAAAATAATCAAATTGAAACATTTTCTAGAAAAATGTACGATGATTCTTCAATAAATGGTGGGGATGTATTGATTTATTAAGGATAATTTGATGATTAAGTTTTATCATGTAAAGGATATTGGTACTATCTTGAAAGTAAGGAAAAAGGAGAATGGTTGTTAAAATTTACATGATGATGAATTTCATATTTTTATTTTAACATATAATTATATTTATATAAATAAAAAACTTTTATATCTAAGAATGCAAAATAGTTCAATAATTTATTTGGATTATCTATATTCTAAAATTAAATTGAAATAAAATTCTTTTGAATTGCAAAATTGTATCTATTAAATCAAGAGTTTCATATAGTATTATTAATTTTAATGTATAACTATAGGATCTATCGTATAGTGGTTAGTACCTGAGGCTTTAACCCTCAAGACCTTGGTTCGAATCCAAGTAGGTCCTTTTTTTCCATACTTTTTATATTAAATTTTTTTCAATTCTACATTATAATAATTTATTAAAAAGCAAAAAAACTCATTAGTATTAAATTGAATTAAATTTTAATTTCTTAGAATAAAGAACAGTTTAGAAATCTTCTTCAGTATTCGTTTGAATTTAAAGATAAATTTCTATTAATATTTATCTGAATAGATGTAATTACATAGAGTATTAAATTTAAAGAGGTTTTATTAAAATCAATCTTAACATAATTACTATTTTTATATCAAATTTTTTATTAGTTTGAATTAATATCTTTACTTAGTAATGAAATATTTACCATGAGGGGATTTGATGATATTAATAATGAAAAAAGACATCTTTACTGAGAAGGAATCACAATTTTATATGACAGAATCAATAATGTATAATATAAATAAATAAGTGTATAACAGTAGATTCTATTCATAAATTAAAATATATACATAGAGATTTAAAACAGATAATATTTTATTATAAGCAGATGGACATATTAAATTGAGCGATTTTAGATTATGTAAATACGTAAAATCAAGAGGAACTAGATTAGATGAGAGAATTAGTGTCTATAAACCAGAAGGTAAAGGAGATAACACACAAATTTCAAGAGAGATAGAATTAAGGCTAATAGTACAGTAAACACTCCTGATTATATTGCACCTAAAGTGTTTGAAAAGTCTGTGTATTATGAGACAGCAGATTGGTAGTCTTTTGGAGTTACATTATATGAATTATAAGAAGGAAATACATCATTCTTTTGTGATGATCCCTAATCAACTATTTAGAAGAATATAAACTGGAAAAAACACTTGTTATTCCATAAGAAGCTAAACCAAGTTCTATTAATAAGTTAGAAAAGAAGTGAATTTTAAAAGATATACTTTTAATAGAAAAATTGAATTTCAAAGATCTTACCTAAATTAAGCTTTTCTATATCTTGATACTTTGTAAACACAAAAAGCAGTTGACTTTAATTGAATCCATAGGTATATACTGAGTCAACCTTGAGTAAATCTTAAGAAAAGAAGGATACATTTTTTAATATAATTTCTTGAGATATAGAATTATTTAACAAATTATTAATAACATAAAAACTCTTATAAAATGGAAAGTCAAAGTAAAAATAGAATTATATTCAAATACCTATTATGAGTCAAAAAGAATTGACAAATACTTAAAAATTACAATATCAATTAATTTTGAGTCCCACACATTAAAATTTCAATTAATAAAACTATTTGAAATAATTAATTAGTCCATAAAATAAAAATAGTGCTATTTTCACTTAATAGAAACCTATAAGTGAATATCAAAACCCAGCTTTGGCTTAGCTTTATAAATAATTTGAAATGTAAAATACGCTAGTAATACATAAAGAATCTTACCAAAATCATAAATTTAAATGGCTTAAATTAATAATTTATATAAAAAATGATTAATAATAACAATATCAAATAAATAATGATCAATTTTTATTTAAAAATAATAATTATTTTGATTTTTTAACTAAATTCTAAATGTGAGTTATTAAATTACATTAGGTTAATAACAATAAAGAATAAGTCTAATAAAAATTTTAAATATTCAAAGTGTTTGATTCTCAATTTAGTTAAATTCTTAAATAAGTTTGAATGTAAAAGGTTTTGAAAAAAACAAGGAAAAAATTAAAGTGTAATCTTCTTCCATTTATTGTTCCACTTTATTTACTAATGTTTAATCAATATATATTTGCATTAATATACATAATTCAAGAATTACTATGATCTCAGTTCATTCTATCAAAAAAGGAAAAGAAATTCAACACAATCGTTGATTTTATAGATAACACTAAAGAACTTTCCCTTTTTGTTATTCCTATGTAATATTCTATTGTTAAGATTGTAGTTTATGTATAGGAATACATAATTGTAGTACTTTAGTTTAGGTTATAAAATTAATATTTATTTATTAAATGTTTTTTGGATATAATTCAGCTCCTAATTCTAACATTTCTTAAACTTAGAGCATTCTTCATGAATCACAAGTACTTTCATTATAGAGGGAAAGTGAGAATTACATTAGAAAAGTGGAGTAAGACAAAAAACATCATTACAATATTGAGGAAACTTGGGTGTCAACTAAAAAGGAATGGTAATAAAAAAAAGAATAAATAAAAAAAGTATAAATGTTAATTATATTTATAGATATAACATGATTAAACTTTGCCTGCTGCTAAACAATAATTAAATAAAATAAAAAATTTATAAAATGCTTTAGAATAATCAATACTTAAATACAATGAATCATAAACTAATAATTTAGAATTGAAAAAATAGATTAATATGTTAAGAAAGGAAAGACATTAATACATAAATATTCATTAAGATTTATAGGAAGAATTATTGAATATAGAAAATGAAACTGTTGCAAATGAGGCATTTCGAAATTCAAATGAAATATAAGCTTAAAAAAAGAAAGAAACTATAGCTGAAATGAAGAAAAAAAATGATTAAGAAAAAGAAAAATATGTTGAGTAATTTGACAGATTAAAAAAAGAAGTTATGGAAGAGAAAAAAAAGCATGATTTAGATAATTTAGGATAAAGAAAAGAGAAAGCTGCTAATATTGATACTGCCTCTACTTTAAAGCTTAGATTAAAAAAATTGATTTCTAATAATAAAGAAAAAGTTAAATTGATTGATACATATTGGAAAAATATGAAAGTAATTGAAGATGCATTCAATCAGATTAAAGAAGCATCAGGTATTTAAGATATTGAAGAAATCATGAATACTTTTATTAAGAGTGAAGAATAAAACTATTCTCTTTATAATTATGTTGACATCTTATCTTAATAAATTGATTAATTGTAAGACTAAAATTAAGATTTAAAAAAAAAAATAGATTCTCAAAGAGTAGAAAATGAAAGTAAAAAAAGATTGCTTATGGCAACACCATAGGCTGAAAGACATAGAAAAAAAAATGAATTAATCATTAAAAAAAAATAAGAAGAAATTAATACTCTCAGAAAATAAATGGAAGAAATTGCACCTACTTTAAAAGATGCTTTAATTGAATTATCTTAAACATAATTGGTAATTCATATTTTTATCTCATTAAGGCATCTGATCCAACTGCACATTTAGATTATAAATTATCATTTAACCTTAATGAAAGTTCTTTAGAAAAATATTTATAAGATCTTGAAAGATTTATTGATCTTGCTGTTGCTAAGTAAAAAAATTATATATAAATATTTTAGAGAAAAAATTGCATAAAATTAAAGTATTGCTCAAAGTACTCTACTTTTAGATGAAATTCCACTCAAAGAGTTTAAAGGATCTAATAAATAATTTAATGAAGAAGAATTGTTAAAATAAGAATCATAATAGCAATAATATAATAAATTATTTACATAAAAAGCATTAAGAGATATGGCTTTAGAAAGTTTAAAGAAAAAAAAATGAATATTTTCATATAATCATTAAATTTAATATATATCATGTCAATTAAATTAATAACAATTAAGTATTATTCAAAATTTGTGTAAGTATTAAAAATCATAATGAATATATATATAAATGCACATTTATTTTAATGAAAATAATATTCATAACTCAAAACTATTTGTCTTAGTTATTTACAGACTATTCATCATTTTGTTTTTAATATTTTTTTTGGTTATTACCAGAATAATTATTATTCTATTAATAATTATTTTATTAATAATTATTTTATTGATCATTTCCTTATTAGAAATTATTTTATTGATAATTGTTTTAATTATTATTATAATATTTCTTTTAATATTTTTATGGTTATCTATAATAATTAGGATTTTAGTTATATTATTATTAATCATATCCATATTTGAATTAAGCATTATTTTATTAGTATTATTATTATGGATGATAGAATTAATAATCATAATTGTTATTATAATATTGTTTATTATCATTTCTATAATATTAGAATATATAATACCTATATTAATTGTACATTTATTGATTTTAACCTTAATACTATGAACCTCCATATTATTGATTAGAAGAATAATAAGCTATTATTATAATATGATATTTAAATACCTCGCATGTACATCATTTGATCAGCTTATTTAGTTTACCATCTCTATTAATTTTATCTCTTGTGATAATTTTTGTATTCAAAAGGAGATTTTTCAAATAACTATTACTCATGAGATTGTTGTGTTAAGAAATTTTAATCAAGATCTCTTTGTTATTTAATTTAATCCTATTTAAATATCTAATAATACTTCTCTTCTATCCATATTTTAAAATTATTAGAGCAAGATATTAACATTTGTTTCATCCTCTTATTAATCTTTAAAACATTAAAGTACAAACATTCCTAATCCATGTGTAATTTCAGTGCAATCAGTTTGTTCTGTTAAAACTATTGAACCTAAATGAGCTGGTTATTTTTCATCAAGTGTCTTCTATTTCAACTCATTCAAGAATAACTAAATTAAGATATTGCAAATACGCATTTAATTTAAAATGATCCAAACCATTTCAATGGTTCATCCCAATAAAGAAATGTAGCTGTTGGGTCAAAAGGTCCAAGTAATTTTGCACATGCTTAAAAGGCTTTAGTGCCTACAACCGAATATATTAAATAAACTTCCTCTGATTCCTTAAACAGTTCATCAATCCTAGCATTAGATTTTGGAGTGCTATAAGAATTAAATGCATATATTACCTTGTCCAAACTCCGTATTTCATACCTTTATGAATATTATCTAAGCTTGCACTTCTCAATATCAAAAATATTGCTTTTTTTGAAATTGAATTAAGATTTATTGCTTTATTGAAATCAGACATTTTTGGATATAGGTTTTATATTTAAGCAACACTCATCACAGCTTATAAAACAGGCTCATCAATTGGATATCCCTAGAAATTTTTAATAAGTGTACCCTTTGTTTGTGGTATTATTTCATTTCTTTATTATTAATACATAAAAATATTAAATTGATAATTAATTGTAAATTATTATATTATTAATAATAGAGAAGAACAACAAATGAAATTTAGGTTTTTCAGTAAATAAGATCATCCAATATTTTTATTTTTTTTTAAAGTATCTAATATCATTTATTTACAAAAGAACTTGTTATTCTCCATTGATTGTATCATTAAAATAAGATTTTTGAATTGGTTTAAAATATGAAATGTTCATTTAATTCTTATTATGTTTTTTAAGTTTTATGTATATATTTAGAAATTAATTCAATAATTCATAAATAAAGCAGAATGTATTTGAAGAAAAAAAAGACAGAAAAAGAGAAAGTGAATTACAAAACCCTATATGCTTCTTTTGTTATTTAAATAAAGATATTTATGGATAATGAGACAGTTCTCATCAATTAAACATTTTAATATATTGTCATAATACTTTCATCATTTTAGTAATTAAGCTTTGCTTTTGAGAATTACTATTTCTAAAATACAGAGCATAATGGATTCAAGAATTTCTTTTTAGAAATTTCAACATTTACAAGACCTTATGTAATATTGATTAAAAATTATGCTGTTTTTTCATTTATTATCCCATTTGTACTTTTACTTTCATATGAGGCCATTATTTTCTATATTTTTATATGCTTTGCAAGATGTAAAAAATAAAAAAAAATATCTGAGATTCTTTTAGAATAAAATAGATTATTTTAAATTATACTAAGAATCTACTCTTATAAATAAGCATTGTTATACTACTTAATTTTTATACCTCAATTAGAATTAGTAACCTCTTCCATTTAATATTATTCATAAGATGAATATATAAATCTATTGGCTTTACCAACGGCAGTTATATCTTTTATTTTAATCACTTTGAATATGCTTTTTTACTTATTTTGCATCCAATAATCTAATCACATAAAAGTGAGAAATCTAAATATATTATCATAATCATTTAATCATTATTTAAATCCAATCTATTAAATTTTAATTGTATTTTTAAATGAATTTGAAAGGGATGATAAACAATTAAAATTTTACTTAATTGTTATTATTTTATTAATTAAATCATCATTTAATATTTATAGTATATTTACAACATTTTAAAACATTTATAGAAGATGTATAGTTGAATTATTCTCAGAATGCTTTTAATTTTCAATGTCTCTAATATTGGTTTTTATTGAATTATCATAATTTAAGTCTTAATATAAAGATTATGAGACTGGTTTAATTTTGATAATTATTCCACTTGCAACTTCAGTTCCACTAATTATCTATAATAATCTTCATTATAGTATTATTTTAAATAATAATCAAATGATGGCTAGTTATTTAATGTTATACAAAATTGCTTCGATTATTGATGAATTTGGAGAAATCAAAAATTCCTATTTACATGATAATTAAAAAATTATATAAATTATCTATTTTCAGTAAATACATTTAAAACATTGTTCAACACCCAAATGTTTGTGTACTCAACAATAATAATTAACTTTTGAGTAAATTATAAATCTATATTTAAAAGATTAAGTTAATAACTTTAATTTAACAATTAATAAAATTAAGCAATAATCAAATAAATAATTATATTTTTTACACTATTTATCTTTGATACATTATTTAGGATTAAGTACAAGAGCATTTTAATAATCAAATCTTGTAGTTTATCAAGAAAGTGAAAACTTGTAAAATATTATATATTATATTATTCTAGTTCATCTTAATTTAGCAAACTATAAGTTGTTAAAGCTGGAAGTTAGAAAGCTGAATCCAGTAATAGTTTAGACTAATAACATAGTTCTTTATAAAAATCAAAGATTGATAGCAAACCTGATGAAATGATTCACATAAAGATTTAGAATATGGGATTTATATATAAATAAAGACTAATTTTAATTTAAGAATTAATAAAGAAGACAATGAGTACTGGATTAGGTAAATAGAGCAATTAAATATTATCTGATAATCTTGAACATGCTGTTAAATTATTTTTAAAATCAGAAGAAAGCAATAAAAAATTAAAAAATAAGATCATCAAAATGATTAATAAAAAAAAGGAATTCTTTATTAATTTAACTTTATTAAATTCTAATTTAAATTTATTTAATGCAGCTAAGTAAATGATTATGAAATTAACATAACTTGAAGATGAACTATTAAAATTATATTTCTAATTCCCAAGTATATATATATTATATATTATTTAAAAGGTAGAAAAATGCAAGCACTCAATACTTTTTATTAGTCAGAAGTAATGAATAATTATTTTTAAGCATACAAATTAGCCACAATAACTTCGATATCTGATGAAAAACTATTTAAAATGTAATCTTAAATAAGTTTTGATATGTTTTCTAGTAAATTAGATTATATAATTGTGGGATTTGATGAAAAATCACATAAATTATAAATTAGACAATGTTCCAATTAAATCCACGAATTTTTTGGATATAATTAGGAAAAATTTAAATTATTTAAAACTATCGATCATCTTCTACCTAATAATTTTGATTCAATCCATTCAAAATTTGTATAACATTTTTTATCCTCTGGTTATTCAAAATTCTTTCGTTTAATAAATTAGAATTACTGCAGATTTTAAAAGAAATTTATTAAATCTATAGATTTTTTTTTTGATATAAATGTAAGTAATTTAGAAGATTTAACATTTGCTTGTTTTTTCTAAAATAAAGATAGCTAAAATGCTTTTATGTTTTGTTGCAATAATAACAAAATTTAAAGTATAAGTAAAAACTTTGTGAATAAAATTGGTTATCCAGTTAAGTTAATTAATTCATTAATGGAAACACTTAATAAATAACCATTATCAAAAGTCTTTCCTAAATTGTAAATGATTATGGAAATGAATGGCACTAAATTTTCAAATGATAATGATGATTTTGAATAAGATGTAATGGATTATAGTGAATATTAAATTCATATGATTTTACCAGAGATTGATTGTTTGATTAAAAATTAAAAATATGATTGGGACACAGAATCAAATTGTTAGTAGTTTGTTGTAGAAGCAGTATTTCACTATAGAAAATTGAAGTAAGATTCATCAAGTAATTATGTTATTGTAGAGATAAGAGAAGCAAAAAGATATTAGAAAACATTTAATACTCCATTGTAAACAGAAAATATTACTCCAACACCTGGAGCATCTTAAACTTAATTTTAAGATGATGATTTTGAAGATATTGAATTTTTTGAATAGGATGAATTTTTAGCTAACATACCAAGAGCTTTAGAATTTGAATAATAAGAGAATTAAAATTAAATTATGAATTTCGACCAAGATTAAGATTAATCAGAAAGTGATGCTTAATTTGGAAGAAAAGTCTTTTAAAATTAAAAAAATTAAAATTAATCATTTTATCCAAATGTTTCTTTGATGAGTCCTAAAGATGCAGGTTAAAAATTGATAGATGCAAAATTTATTGAAGGAGGATTATATGAAAATAATAGTAGAAGAAATTAAAATGCTAGATAACAATTTTTTTCAGCTGTTGATTAAAAAGATGTATCATCTAATGCAGAAGAGGAAAGTATAGATGAAAATGATGATGAAATAAAAAATTAAAATTAAATAGATAAATTATAATTAGATGATATTGATTAAGAGTTATAAGAAAATATAAAAATGTAAATGTAATTAGAAGAATAGGATCAAAATGTTGTTTAGGTTGATGATATGGGATCTTAAGTAAGTTCAGTTGCAGCTTTTAAAAAGTCAAAATATTCTAAAAAATATGATTTGATTTAGAAATTGATTACTTCTGAAAAATTCTCAAGATATTATTATTTAGCTAGAACATTTTTAATAGTATTATTTTTACTTTTTATTGTATTTTCAATTGTTTAAATAATATTTTCATCTGATGATTTGAATAGATTTTTATAAGAATTAGATATGGTTTAAATAAAATCTAATATTGTTGCACCAATTGATAATTACATTGTTGCTTAAAATGCTGTGATGTTTTATGCAATATTGAATATGATTGGTATGATGAATGCCTCAACAGCAGCTTTAAAATTAGAATATGCAAAAAATGATATAACATATAATTATGAAGAATTAAAGTCTAGTTACATAAAACAATTATCAAATTAATATTTAAATCCATTTTTTAGGATAAAAATTTCACTATAATGTAATCTGAATAAACAACTACATCAAATAGAAATGTATCTGCAAGAGAGGCAATCTACCTTTCTTTAGAAGCAGCTTATTAATTTGTATTGTTGGATTATTTAAACATTTTTACTTCCTTAGATCCAACTTCAGGCTTTTTTGTTTATTTATTTGGAAATTATCAGACTTTTTATGATTAATTAACAATAGTAAATTAGGATATGTTATCTTATTCTGTTTAAAGATCTGTAACAGTTAAAGAAAAATGGTTGTCATTAATGATTCCAATTTTGATTATAGGATTTTTATTATTGTTAATTGTTGTAAGATTTCACAACTAATATTTATAATAATATGATCAATTTATATAACTGTTTTCAATGTTAGAAATAGTGTGGATATAAAGAGATATTGATAGATACAAAGGCATATCTGCTTTAGTAATTAAAGATTCAGATGTTTTATTTAAATATCAATTTGATATTGATTTGAAAGAGAAGTTCCTAGCTGCTGAAGATATAAGAAAAGAGAAAATAGCTTAAAATTAGAAAGGGCATAAATAGAAATAAAAAGTCACAAATCTAAACTTTAATTAGAAAACTACAAAACTACCATCTTTAATAATATATTCAACAATATATGCTTTGTGTTTTGGATTATGTTTCATATCAACTTCTTTGGGGGAATCATATTTTTCCAAATATCCAGATACTACACATTTCTTTAACACTTTGTGTGATGTCAGTATTGCATCAACTGGTGTGTTTAGTTTAAGGTAAATCATATATGTAGTATCAGATAAAAATTAATAAGCCTTTTTTTTTATCAAAGATACTACCTATTTTATTTAAATATTTTTTGAACATATTGATACTATTAATGAATTTCTAGCATAAATGTCAGAATTTGATCCATCTACTTTGATAACATCAGAGGCATTTATAAATAAGATAGAATAACTAATGTAAAATGATGTTTGTGAATTTCTTCCAGAAGTAAATATTCAACTGATATTTGTAATTAGTTTAAAATAGAAAGTGCATAAATGCATTGCGATTCTGTCTATGATGGAGTTGTTAGAAGAGGTTTTCAACTAGCTTTAAATACTGTAAGAAATGAATTACTAAATGAATACAAAAATTCTTAAAACTTTAGTATTTAATAATATTCTCTTAATGAACAACTTGAAATAGGACTCATAAATTATGATGCTGTTTCTAATATCAAATTACAATTTTAAGATGAATTAGTTCATTTTACTTATAATCTGATTGATTAAATATTGGTACATAATTTGATAAAATTTTAGATTATTAACATTTGTGCAATCATTTTTTATTTAATTTCTATTGGGATGATTTATAAAGTTATTACATCAATCTACTACCAAGAATTTAAATTGGTGCTTAAGTTTATTTTACTTATACCTTAGACTTCTTTGTTCTTAGATAATCAATTAGATAGAACTATAAAATAAATAATTATTAAGCATAATTTAGCTTGAAATATTTGGTTATAAATTAATTTAAATTTAAATAACAATTATATTATTGTAATCATTCTTTAATATTTTTCTAAGGAGTTAGTATTAATAATTTATAATTCTGATTTTTCTACTTAACATATTGAAAATGCTATCTTTGTATGTACCTAGAATAGTCTGTTTCTTATAAAATAAAAATTTTGATTAGAAAGCAAATACTCTAAATCAATTGATATTATGTGAATAATCATTTTTACATTATTTTCATATAATAAGTCATGAATATACTTAATATTCCTTTTTAATCATTATAATTAAAAATGAAGTCAGTAGATATAAAGATTTTGCTTGCAACTTTAGCATCAACTGCTAATAATGTATCATTAAATAATTATAGATCAAATTATGATGGCTCTTGTTAAACTTAATCGAGCTCTTTAACTTCTTTATAAATTAACAATTTTCTTCTTATTTTAGTTTTATTTCCATCATAAAAATTCTAATATATTATAAGTTAAGCTTGAAACTTGCATCATCTTTTTTATTTAATTTTGTATTTAAAAAAAATAGAAATTGCATATAGACTGATCATTAAATATACATATTTGACAATGTCTCACTTTTTTAAATAGTAACTGATCTTAATTTAAACAGACTTTGTTTAATATTACAAATTATTTTATTTTATTTTATAATGAGCCAAAATGAAGAAAATGATAAAATTTCTGAGGAATCAGAATAAAAAGATAATTCTTCAGAAGATGAGGCAGAAGAGAAAGAAAATTAATAGAGGGAAGAACATTTTGGAAGAGATGAACATGATGTAATTAAGGTTCATAAATCACCAACATAAGTGAAAAGATAAGTCTTAAAAAGAAAGAGTACAATGAAGGCTGAGGACATGTTTGGCATGAATTTCTTTAAATTCTAATATTATGTAAATTAAGAAGATTTGGGGATTCGCAAAAAACCTTAGAACTCCTAATCAGGTGACAGACTAGAAGAACATAATTTCTATATGCATGAAAAGAAATATAGTTTTGGTAAAAATTCATTGTACATTTTGAATGAATCAAACATAATTAGAAAGTATTGTGTTTGGATTGTAACTTGGCACTGGTTTGATAAAGTTATTACTCTAATTATAGTTCTGAACACTATTTCTTTGGCAATGTAGAATTATGATTTTAGAGTAAATGGAACTTCAAATCAATCCGAATTAACATATGTTAGAAATTAAATGGAATACTTTTTTACAGCTGTATTTTTATTAGAATTCATTCTAAAAATATTAGCTATGGGATTTCTTTTTGAAAGACATACATACTTAAGAGATGGTTGGAATGTTTTAGATTTTGCAGTAGTGGGAACAAGTATTCTCTCTTTGGTTGGTAGTTTTAATCTAAGTGCTATTAGAACCATCAGAATTTTAAGACCATTGAGATCTATTAAATCTGTTCCTGGTCTTAGAATTTTAGTGGCTTCTTTATTGGATTCCTTACCTAATTTAGGTAATGTTTTAGTTTTTCTGTTGTATCTGTTAGTTATCTTTGGAATATTAGGATTGTAATTATTTGCAGGTGCTTATGAAAATAGATGTAGATTTACATAATTTCCAGTAAATGGAACTTGGCCAGCAGATCCATTAATAACTCATTTATGTAGTTCAGATTCAGATTGTCCTGAGAATGAGTATTGTGGCAATCCTATCAATTACAATCTTCCTAATTAAGACATTCCCATCCCTGAATTAAATTACTCTTATACTACTTTTGATAATATATTAACTGCCACTTTTACTATCTTTTAAGCTCTCACTACTGAAGGATGGTCTACAATTGTTACATAATTAATTGATGCTGTTAATCCAATTTTGGTTTATGTTTATTTTAATTTATTAATTATAATAGGATCATTTTTTACAATAAATCTTATTCTAGCTGTTATTAATGATTCATTTTTAAAAAATCAATCAGAGAGAAGATAAGAATTATTGAAAGAGGAGCAACAAAGAAAACAATAGAGAAAAGAAAAGAAATAAAAAGAACGATAGAATGCTCAAATACATCCAACTTAAAACATAGCTGATTTAGTACCATCAGATGATTCTGATTCAGATGAAGAAGCTTAAAAGAAAAAAGAAGAAATAATAAAATAAGTCTTGAAACCAAGCAAATTTTAAGGAAGAGCAGAACAATTAAAGATATTATAAGATCAATTTAATAGAAAAGTTAAAAAGGAGAAATAATAAATTAATTTTTTTGATCCATCTTTATACACTTTAGATGTAAATGATGATAAAGGAACTAATTTTGATACTAAATTCAAATAATTTTTTTTAAGATTTATAGAATCCCTTTTTTTCACTATAATAGTCAATTGTATTATAGCTGCTAATACTGTAGTATTGGCTTTGGATAGATATCCTCAACCACAATCAGAAATTATAATATTATCATATCTAAATTTGGCTTTTACTTTATTCTTTGTTATGGAAATGATCTTGAAATTTTTTGCCTTAGGAATAACTGAATATTTCAAAGATTATATGAATATATTTGATGCTATTATTGTAGCAATTTCTTTAGTTGAATAAGTATTAGACCTTGCTGAAATATCTGTATCTGGAGGATCAATAACGGCTGTTTCAGCTTTTAGAACTTTGAGAGTTTTCAGAATATTCAAATTAGCAAGATCTTGGAATTCTTTAAGGGAAATTCTTATAGCAATAGCAACAACATTAGAAGCTATCAGTTTTTTTACTATGTTATTACTTTTATTCATGGTTATAGCATCATTGGTTGGTATGGAATTATTTGCATACAATATTCCAGATGTTAGATTAAATTTCAATACATTCTTTGATGCTATGATTACTATATTTGCATTATTAACATCAGAATCATGGAATATCTAAACTTATTTATATATGTATAAATCAGATTAATGGTGGCCATTAATATTTTTTATTAGTGTAGTGATTATGGGAAATTTAATTCTCTTAAAATTATTTATAGCAATATTAATATATAATTTTGGATAAAAATCAATAGAAACTGAAAAGAAATTATAAGATAAAATGAGAAAATTGAATTTTCAATAATTGGTTGAATAATTTAGATCATCTATAAAAGTATTTGATCCTGAAGAAAAAATTAAACATAAATCTCCAAAACCTGAAGAAGTACATCCAGAACATTAAAAGAAATTAAAAATAAATTAAAATTATATTGGATAACATTAAAATTCAGATGTTGCTTGTTTCTTTTTAGCAAAATATGATCAGGCCAGATTTGAAGTGAGAAAAGAAACAAAATAAAAAAAATTGATTAAAAGGTTTTTTGATACTGCTGAGATAGTTGATCCAGAAGAGATTAGTGATGATTCTTCAGGTGATGAAGAATATATAAAATAAATGGAACAAAAAATGTAATTTCAAAGTTAAGGACCTTTAACATTTTAAGATGGATATTAACCATAAATTTCACTTCATCAATCTTCTTAATAACCTGATAAGAAAAGTAGTGTTTTCAGTAAACATGAAACTTCTTCTGCTTAAGATCATTTAGAAGGAGTTCTCATAGTAGGTACTTCACTATTTATTTTTGATTAATAATCTAAAATAAGAAGATTTGCTTTTAGATTTATCAACAAATCATAAGTTGTTGGATTTATTATTCTTATGATATTGGTTTCTTCTGTTCTTCTTGCATTAGATGATCCTTTAGAAGAAAGTAATTCAGAAGTATTAAAAGAAATAGATTTAGTTGTTACAATTATATTTACAGCTGAATCATTATTAAAAATCTTAGCCTATGGATTTCTAATTAATGGAGAATTTAGTTATATGAGAGATTATGCTAATGTATTGGATTTCATTGTTATAATATTTAGTTGGGTAAGTATATTTTCTGATGCAAATCTATAAATATTTAAAATTCTAAGAATTTTTAGAGTTTTGCGTCCTTTAAGATTAGTTTCAAGAAGTGATAGTTTAAAAATTGCAATTAATGCTTTGATACTTAGTTTATCGAAGATTTTCAATCTAATATTAGTTAGTTTAGTTTTTTATGGAATGTTTGGTATATTTGGTACCAATTTTTTTAAAGGAGCCTTTTACTCTTGTGATATTAGTAAGGTTGGTGAATATCAAATAATAGGAAAGTATGATTGTTTTGATTATGGAGGTAATTGGGTTAATGCAGATTATAATTTTGATAATGCTCTTAATTCAATTAGTTCATTATTTGTAATTTCAACAACTGAAGGATGGCTTGAATAAATGTATTAAGGAATTGATAGTGTTGGTATTGATTTATAACCAATACATAATTATAATATGTATTGGTCTCTATTTTATATTGGATTTGTAATTATTGGATCATTTTTTGTGATGAATTTATTTGCTGGTGTTGTTTTAGATGCCTTCAATTCTGAAACAGATAAATTACGTGGATATTTTTATATGACTCTTGAATAATAAGAATGGGTAGATATAAAAGAAAGAATTTACTATGCTAAACCATAAATTAATTAAAGAATGAGTGATTAATGGTTTAGAGCCAAAATGTTTTAAATAATAAATCATAAATACTTTGATTCCATGATCTTCTTTCTAATTACAATTAATACTATATTGTTTATGTTACAATTCGTAAGATAACCTGATATATTAGATACTATTATATCATATTCCAATTTAGGATTTCTATGTATATTCACAACTGAAATGCTAATCAAATTAATTGCATTAGGATGGTAATATTTTGCAGAGCCATTCAATCGATTTGATTTTGTTGTAGTTATCTTAAGTATTGCAGGATCTGTCTTAGAATAAATGTCAATATTAACAGCTTTTGGTACTGTAATAAGTGTTTTTCGATCTTTCAGAATAGTTAGAATCATGAGATTAATTAGATCAGCAAGAAGTCTTAAAGCTATTTTTGAAACATTCTTCCTAACTGTAAGTTAATTAGCAAATATTGGTGGGCTATTATCAATCATTTTATTTATGTTTGCTGTCTTGGGAATAAATCTATTTCCATATGTAAAATGGTCAAGTAATGGTTTAACTGATTCTATCAATTTTTCTACTTTGGGTAAAGCATTTTTTACTTTATTTAAATGCAGTACAGGTGAATAATGGGATTAGGTTTAGGCAGATTTAGTGAGATAAATGACACCTAATAATGTATGTTTCTCTGAAAATTTATTGATTGATTATTAATTACATGGTTTTAATGGTTGTGGATTTTGGTATGGAGTTGCTTATATGGTGAGTTTTTAGATGATATTTGCAATGATTATGCTTAATTTATTTGTTGCCATTATTGTGTAAGGATACGAAATTATATAGAAAGATGAAGCTTCTTCTATATCTACTAATCATATACAGGCATTTATTGAAGTTTGGAAGTTTTATGATTAAACTGGTAGTGGATTGATAAGAGCATTAGATTTGGATCGTTTTATGGTCAAATTGCCTAAACCTTTGGGAGTAATTAATAATATATAATTATTTAGTGGAAAGGATTATTACTAACTCAAATGGAGAAAAGAAAATTTATAAATTAATATCGATTACCAGTCTATATCAAAAACCAAACAGCTATGTATTTCTTTTATGATGTTCTTGAGATACTGTCTCATAACATCTTAACAAGGAAATATGGTGATGATACAGAGTAAGATCAATACAATATTTTTATTTTAGATTAGATCCAAAAAAATTAGTGAAAGCAACTAAAGATTTGATTAAGAAGAGGTTGTAATTGATTGAGTAATTGAAAAATGCTAAGACTTGTGCTTGGACAAGCGAGGATATTAATAGTGCTTTCATTATAATGAGGAGAATGAAATGGAAACTTGATGAATTGAAGGAAAAAAGAAAGAATGAAGTTCATGTTTTAAGAGACCTTTCAAGTGGTGCCCATAGTAGTGAACAGGACAATTCTCCCGATTAAACCTAGAGACCTAGTTAATTCAATACTTAAGGACTTACTTCTGGTCATTAAATGCATATAGATATTTGACTTTATTTTCATTATTTAAAATAATAAAGAGTCAATGTTTATATACTTTAAGTTTCATAACATTTGGACTTAAGGATATATAATTTTTCTATGTTTAAAAGTGCTTTGAATTATTGTTATCCTAAAATTGGAAATTTTAATTATAATGTTGATTTGATTTAACTATTGTTCTCTAACTGTTATATGTTTTAAGAGTTAGGAATTATTTTCCTTAATTTTTCATAGCTGGACTACTGCTTCTAAAAGTTATAAAAGGATTATTTGGCTGATCATCATTATGATAAAAGTGACTACTACTTCCGAATTATCTAGTTATAGTATCTTTCAAGGATGAAATATTTTATCTTTGACTGTCTTTTAATCCTCTATGAGACTTAAGGAAAATTTAGAATAAACTATTAAATTTAGGGATAGTAGATGTTAATCCTAATTTTCTTTTGGATTGCTCTATCATTGTATCCATTTTTTATTTGATCAATTAATTTCTACTTTTATAATTTTAATTTTTAGATTCTTTATTTCTACAACTTTTTATACATTCTTCCTAAATCTCATTATCCTAGTCACATTAAGTTTTTATTTGAAAATATCTAGGATACTTAAGATGAGTATTTTATTCTTAATGAACTTTAAAATTGACATAACAATTAATTTCTTACATATGTTTTTCCAAATCCTCTGTATGTCCTTCGAATATTTTTTCAATCAAAGATGTTCTGTGTATTTTGTAGATTTGTCCCTTAGGACTATGACAAATAATCTAGTATTCGTATGGAATTTTATTAAAGAGATGATAAAACCCAAATACTTGTAATTCTCCAATCTCAAATAACTAAAATGAAGTGGATATTAATTACAATTAAAGGATGAGATTTATTCATTTATTTACGTACTTAAAATAAGCCAGCTTTTACAATAAGGAAGCTATCTGATTTATCTCCTTCTTACAATACAATCTAATTTTTTTCATATTCATATAGAAATGAATTCAAATAAATCTAAGTTAATTAAGTTCTATTTAGTTGATTAAATATTGAAATCTAAGCAAAATAATCTATATTCTGAATAATAATTATTATTATTTTTACTTATTCGATCTTTTTTGTTTACTCATAATGCAAAATATATTGAAACTACTGTTTATCAAGAACAGCAAAGTAACAATTATTTACACAACGAATAGTAGCTAATCTTGGTTATCTATGAATAAGAGCTAATTCTCCAAATGATTCTCCTTGTCTCAGAATTCTTACAGATTCTAATTCATCATAACCTCTTCTCTTAATCAATACTTCTACATGACCATCAAGAATCACATAAAATTTTGTGCCAATCGAATCTGTATTATTAATTGAGTCTCCATACCAACATGAAAAACAATATCGGTTGCTTAGAACCGCTCTAAAAACATGTGTTTACAACATTCACGATGAATTGTCAATCCATTCTCTTAATTGTAATATTATTTAAAAAAAGGAAGTTCTTATGTAAAGTGAACTAATAGATCAATTTCAACTTTGCATCTATGTTTTGGTTATTTTTTCAATAAATTCAATGCTTCAACTAAGTGATCTTCAAGCATATTAACAAAATAAAATAAAAATAAATTAGTCAAATTTTGTAGCTAATAAAAGTCTTTATTTTTGTTAATCAACTATTTATTAAATTAAATGAAAATTATCACTTTCTTAATATTATTTTCTTACTGAAATTGAATAGGTCTTAATGGAGAAGTTTACATGTCATTATGAAAGGAGATTATTGATAATGATTACTGTAATAAGAGGTATAAGAGATTGTAGAATTACATAAATTAAATTATACAAATAGAAATATTAAACTAAACATTATTCTTATTTAAATGATAGTGTTTATGCTTAGAAATTCTTAAAATTCAAGATTTTTAAGTACAAAATTATTATAAGATGATCATTATTTTCAAATTAGATTTTGTATTTTATTGTATTATGAATACTGGAGTTAAAGTAATCTAAAAATAATTTGATATAATTGCATTAATAATTATGACATAAATTATTAACAAATGATATGTTAATGTTGAATTATTAACTTTATACAGGAGTGACTATTAAATAAAATAGATAATTCCTAAATCTTAATTATATAAGATTTTTATAATTATTAAAAGAAAATGTGTGTCTTAATAATCTGAATCTACAAATATAATTGACTAATAATAAATTCTGAATTAATTGAGATTTATTATAATATAAAATAAGAGAAGTGAGAGAATCCCGTTTCTATGTCTTTATAATATATTTATATTAATTAATCTTATTTTATTTCTTTCTTAAACTCTAAAGGTTCTTTTTAGGATGATCTTTCATTTATATTTAGAAAGACTATTATAGAATATATATTTATAAATATCTAAAATCTACCTCTCTAAATGACATTATTATCATATAATATTATTTAATTAATTAGAAAAATTTAGAAAATTTAATTAATATGATAAAACCAATGAAAATGTTCATTAGTTCTGATAAAATACATGTATTAGATTGATCTAAAATAAGATTGTGCCAAATCCTCAAATCTGTGGATTTGATAAGTCCTTGACTATTGATCGATCAAACTTTTCAACATAGCTAGATCAACCTATGATTGAATCAGCATAATAAGAAATTGGAATTTTTGGCATAGTAGGGATTTATAAATTTTTTGGCAAAAATAACCTACTTTATATATCTGAGGCAAATTAGGTTTGTAAAATAAATGGTTAAAGCATATACGAAATAATTTCTATTTCTAATGTTTTATAGAATCACTTTTCTTCTATTGAATAATAAAGCATTAAAAATGTTGAAGGATATTTTAGTAAATGCACATATTTTTCATTAAAATATGATTTAACACTACCATTATCATAATAACACTAACCTGAATAAAGTGAAAGAAGTATGAGGTTTTGGTGGAATTTTCATGGTTATAAAAATTTTTTAGCTTATAAGATACCTAAGTGTTGGTGTACTAAGATTATATAAGGATATGTTGGTTTAGGAATTTGTGAAATAAAAACGCAATAAAATTAATAACTAACATATATTTTGATTGCTCGTAGAGAAACTCTAAGAGGAGGTACACGATATAATCATAGAGGATTAAATATTGAAGGAGCTGCAGCAAATACTGTGGAAACAGAGCAATTAATTGAATATTAAGAGAAACTTTATTGTCATTTGTAGATCAGAGGATCAGTTCCAGTATTTTGGGAATAAGTAGGGATTCGTGCAATTTCATCAATAACTTAAAATACTGAATAAACTAAGATGGGTATAACAAAACATCTAATGAATTTGAAGAAATATTTTGGATCTCTTCTATTGATTGATTTAATGGCTATGGATAAACAAAATGAATCAATAATTAGTTAAACATATAAAGAGTATTATATATATTTTAATACTTAAGAATGATTAATTTAATTTAAATACCTTAAGTCCAACATTAGTAAATAGATTTCAAATAATATTGTAAAAATTATAAATTTGAAAAACTTAATCCTTTAATTATTGAAAATAAAGAGATTCTAATTTAATAATCTTATACTAAATTTTAAAATGGAAAATTATGTATATATTTATGATTATAAATTAGTGAATATTTAGAATGGAATTGTAAGAACTAATTGTTTAGATTGTTTAGATAGAACAAATGTATTTTAAACAAAAATAGCCTATTTTATTACAAATCTTATATTAAATGATCTTGGTATTAATATTCCAAAGGAATTTAGATGTGAAACTATTTTAGATTTGGTAAAATATGTGCACTAAATTATAAGTCAGATTAAGAGAAGGTGCATGATTTAATAAAATTAATTAAAATTTTATGGGGTGAAAGTGGAGACAATATTTCAAGAATTTATGCAGGTACTGATTCTTCAACTACTAAAATTCAAAAGACTGGAGGCAGTAGTTGGACAGGCATAATTGAACATGGTTTGAAAGGTTTTCATAGGTATAAATAGAAAATAAGATAGATTTTACAATTAAAATGTAACAGATGAAGAGAAGCAGAATATATATTCATTCATAGTTGGAGAGAATTAATAATCAAATAAATAATTTTTGGGAATAATTGAATAAATGTAATAATAATCTCCATTTATTCACAAAAATCTATTATTTATGGTTATAGGATTTGATGCAAAAGATTAAACAATTAAAGATTTTTTTCATTTAATTGATTCTAGATAGTAAAATAAAATAAATAATATTTTTTATAGAATACCATAATTCATTATAGTATTATTTTAGAACATTGTAAAAATATGTTAGCCTTGCAATTATATTAAAGATTAGTTATAATCATCAATTAGATCTTAATTAGGATAATATGAATGTGCTTATGCTAGTTAGAATGTAATATTTATAATATAAAGTAATAGGAAAAATAATATAGTTTTATATTCACTAAATAATCTATTTAAAATGCAGATTTTAAAGATTATATTATTAAGGAAAATGAAAGAGAAATTGGAATTGTTTAATATTTTAATTATGAAGATTAACAATTTCAAATAATAAACTTAAATATAAATTGTTAAGAATTGATTATGTATGAAAAAAGGATTATTGAAGAGATTAATAATAAGAATAAGAATTCAACTATTTAAATTCTTGGTGGAATTTGTAATTCACAAATTAAGATTGAAGAGTCAATTGAAGAGTTTTGTAGTAAGAATAAAATAGATCCTATCTCTAAATTATTTTTAGAAGATGAAATATGTGAGTATTTTTAAAAATCTTAGATATTGAAAAATTATCAAGAAGCTATTATTAGTTTTTTACCAAGAAATAGATTAAAAAGTTGGGCAAACAGAATTTTATATGGACCATAAGAAGCATAAGATGCTTATAATATTTTAGCATATGAAGAATCAATAAGTAATGGTATTAGATTACTGTTTACAATTGATTTAGAAATGGTTGGATTAAAAGGATAGAAGTTAATAAATAATAATGAGGAAGAAGATGATGATATAAAATACTCTTAGCAATTTTACTAAGTTACAGATGATGATGATGATGATGATTTTGAAATTATTACATGACGGTTTGACTCAAAAATATATAAAATTTTTATCTTTTGGATTCATAGAGTCTTAAAATCCATCATCTTTCACTTTGTATACATCTTTCATTTCATTATTTTTGATTCTATACATTTCTAAATTCCTTAATCCCATTTATGCTATCTTTATTTCTTAAGTAATTCTTTTAGAATCGTTTAATTGTCTATTATCACGGAATCTAAGAAAAATTTTTATAGAAAATAATTGAATACGATTCTTTTATAGCTAACATTATTTTGAATCTATTTTTGCTTGGATAATATTAAACATTCTTGATCAACATTCTATAAAGTGTTAACATAGACATAGCTTAGATTTCTTAAATTGTGTGTTGCATTATTAAAATGATTATATTAACTTTATTATTAGGCATATATGCTCAAAACAATTTAAATGAATTATTGAAACAATGGGAAATTCATATTGAATAATCATCAATTGAAAGTTAATAAACATTCAAAGAAATCATATACTAATTTAAAGATGAAATCCCAAAATAATATCAATCTAGATTTTTTAGAATGTATGGCCAATACATCTTTTATGGATTAGAAAATGAAAATTCTATAGATTTTGCTAGAGTATGTCATTATATATAATTTAGGCACTTTATTATTTTAAGAAATCATCTGATCTTGGTGACATTACTTCCCAATTTTATGTGTCTTTATTTACATATTTACATTTAGATGGATCATATAACATATATAGCAATCTTAAAACAGAATCAAAATTATATAGATATGTAAAGGAGAAATATTAAAGTGTCTCTTTAATTGATCTTTATTTCTCTGCTATTTAAGGATTAGATTAAAGTAGTATTGCAATGGGTTATAGACATTTAAAGGGTATAGGAGTCAATTAGAATTGCTCAAATTCAGCTTTATTTTATTTACCAGTTTTGGAAGAATTTGCAAATTCACCAATTAAAGCAAAATACATAAGTGATAATAGATAAGTAGCCAAAGCTTTATATGATAGTAATTTTTATATGAATCATGAATTGGATATATTTGGACATGCTCAAATATTTGAGAATTTGAATATAATCACTTATGATTCAGCAACAGAGGTTAAGTAATTAGCATATAGTTTTTATTATGGATTAAATGGACTTAGAAGAAATTACTCAAAGGCATATCAATTATATTATAAATTATATGATTAATTAAATGATAAAGAATCTGGAATCAAAGTAGCTTAGATGAATATTGAAAATTTGGGTGTAGAAAAACCAAATTATGAATTGGCATTATAGATTTTGAATAAAATCGAAACAAAAAATTAAGATTATTAAGGGAAAATTTATAATGCTTTAGGTTATATCTATTTTAAGGGATTGGGAGTACAATAAGATATAATAAAAGCATAAGATTATTTTAGAAGTAAATTATAATTATATATAATCTTTTAGAGGCAGCAGACTTATAAAATAATGATGGATAATTTAATTTGGGATCATTATACATGTTACCTTCTACTATATAAAGGGAACGAAATTAACCTAAAGGAGTATAATTGATTGAATAAGCAGCTGCAACTGGACATGCAATGGCTCAATATAGTTTAGCATTAATATTACTTGATGGAGTAGATCTATTTTATTCTTGTGATTTGGCTGCTTCCCTATTACATTCTTCATCATCAAGAGGTCCTTGGGCAGATACACTTAAAATAGCTAATTACTTATTTTAATAAGAATAGTATGCATAATCATTATCCAAATATTTTGAAGCAGGATATACTGGATTTATTGTAGCTACATGTATATATAATTTTAAATAATTATTAGAGAATGCTGCTGTTGTGATGGAATAAAGTGATGCTTTTTATTATGATACTTTACACTTTAGTGATGTACAAAATAGACTTAATAAAGATCCTGTTTATCAAATTACAGGAAATACAAATGATGTTTTTGGTTATTTGTATTAGGATTATTTGTAATTTGTAAATTAATCTACTCTGTATGATCTATTACAATTAGACAGTTTTAGATTAAAAGGAGTATTATAATATCGATTCCTTAATTAATGTGCTAAGGAGAAGGAAGCTATATGTCATATGAAATTAGGTGATTATTATTATAATGGAAAATTTGATGATGTAGATTTCAAAAAGTCTTTTCAACATTATAAAAAAGCATTGGAAGGTTAATTGATTGATGCTATGAAAGCTCATGTATACTTTAATTTAGGGTTGATGTATGCCTTAGGATAAGGAGTTAATATAAATAGAACTAAATCAATAGAAATATTTGAATTATCTATAAATAGTTATTCACTAATTCCAATATTACCAGTTAATGCACAAGTATAAATAATTGATTTTTGTGTTAATGTTTATAAATAAATAGATTAAACTGGAATTGAAAAATTTTTGGATGTGAATTATTTAGAATTAGCAATTAAATTAATTGATATAATTGAAGAATGTTTAATAGAAAATTCCTAAACAATAGTAAATGTGTCTGTAGTATCAATTATAGTTATTCTGTTTGGATGGCGTTTGAAAATAATTAATTAATAAAATTGATATATATATTTTATTTATATATTAAAATTTTAAACAATTATATTCATAAAATTAAATGTCAGAACACTTAGATGTGGCATAAATAGCAATAGTGATATTTTTTATATTTATTGCTCTGACAATAGGAGGATTAGTAAGTGAAATTACAAAGAAGATTATGATTCCATACCCTGCTGCAGTTTTCCTGGTGGGAATATTAATAGGATCTCAATTTAATAATATTCATAATCATTTATTACATAGGACTGTTTAAGCAGCCTTTAATATTGATGCTAATTCTAATATGACATTATTTTTGCCAGCTTTAGTATTTAGTAGTGCTTTCAATGCAGATATTTATATAATGAAGCAATAAATAATGCAAATATTTGTATTATCATTTCCTAGTCTACTCATTTCTGCATCATTAATATGTTTAGGATTGAAATTACTATTAGAATATGATGATGAATATTATAGTTGGGGATTTGCATTTGTATTTGGAGTAGTAGTAACATGTACTGATACACTCCAGGTTGTAAAAATATTAAATAATGCTGAAGCTCCAAAAAAATTCATTTCATTAGTTTAGGGAGAAAGTTTAGTAAATAATTGTGCTTCAATGGTTTTAATGCTGATAGCAGTAAATTGTGCAAGAGGTGATTGTGATCTACTTACAGTTGAATTATCTTATGGAGTCTCATTACTTTTGGGAGGAGCATTTGTAGGAATAATGTTTGGATTGTTCACTGTTTGGTGGATAAGAAGAATAAACCATAATTCAATATTAACTATTAATCTTACAATTGTATCAGCATATGTAACATATTTTGTGGCTGAATCTGTAGATTTAGGATTTAGAAAAAATGGTTTAGTTGCAGTAATAACTTTGGGATTGTTCATGTCTGCATTTTCAAAGATTAGAATTAGAACTGAAGTAGAACATCCTTTACAAATATTTTGGTAATATACTTAATTTGCTAATGAAACTATTATTTTTATTATAACAGGTGTGACATGTGGATACAAAATATTTGATTAATAAAGTCCTTATATAAGAAAACAAGATTATATAAATACTGTATTACTTTACTTTTATATTCTTTTATCCAAATTTATTAGTGTATTATTACTTTTACCAACTATCAATTTATATGGATAATAAGTCAAAATGAGTGAGGCTATTTTATTTTCATATAGTGGTACTAGAGGTGCTGTCTAATTAATGTTAGCATTACTTGTTGTTAAAGAACCATCTTTTAGTGATTAATGGAGTGATATTTTCTTATTTCATACAACTTTTATTGTTATATTAACTATGTTAATCAATGGATCGACTATACCTTTATATGTAAAGTTTAGTGGGTTATGTACTACTGCTTAATATAGAGCAAAAGTAAGATTGAATTTTTTATAAGAAATGAAAGAGTAGATTGAATTTAAATTAAATTAAATGAAAGAAGATTATAAATAGAAAACTATAGATTGGAATAAAGTTGAATTTTTTTCAGGATTAGCAGAAACTAATAGATAAATTTAATAAAAAGATGATAAACTTAGTAAGAAATAATTAGATGAAGATAATAAACATAAAAAAGAAAAAGAATCTAGTATTGTAGGACGCTTTTAAAAATTATTAAAAAGTAAGGGATTACAGGATGATTATAATGATGATGATATTGATTCAGATGATATTATTGAAACAAGAGATAGATTTTTAATGGCATTGAAATAGACTTATTGGGATTTATATTCATAAAATTAATGTGGGGGTAAGGCTTATAATTTGTTAATTGAATCTGTTAGATGGGATTTAGATACTGTTGAAGGAAGAATGTGTTCTTGGGATTTCATTTATAATGTTTTTTATTCACCAATTTATATGAGATTTTTATATAGTTTAAACAAATTCCCTATTATTCGTAGATTTTCAGGTGATCTATTATTTGATTGGGTTGCTATGGGATATGAAGTCATTTCTACATATGTTAGAGCACATGAAGGTAAATTTAAATAATTATAATAGAAATGGAAAATATGATTGAAGAATTTCCAATTAATGTAAATTTGAAAAAGAAATTATCCAAAGAATCTAAAGAAAATAGAACTAATGCTGAAAATTTCATTGAAGGATATTTTTATGTTAGTTTTCCTGAAATTATCAAATTAATATAAACTAAAAAATCAGCTTAAGGTTGTTTAGCTAGTTAAGGAAAGTATTTATTAAGAAAATATGAATTGGGAGAATTAGATGTAATAATTAAAAATTTAGTATTTCATAGTTTCAATAATTTTAAAAGTTGAAATTGTAATTAAATAATTTTGTATGCAATGTTGAAGACATTAGACCTATTTGGCCTTAAATATCTATACATACTAAATTAAAAGTGCTCCCATTATTTAGTGAATTTAATGATGATTTACTTAAACAATTAGCATTATAATCAAAAGAACTCTTGTTTGATAAAGATGAATGTATCTATAGAGAGGGTGATTTAGCTAGATATTTCTATATAATTACAAGAGGAAGAGTAAATGAAACAAGTTCAGCTTATATAAATTATTCAATTTCTAAAGATATTGGTTAATTTCTATCATGTCATCATATAGTATTGGAATCAACATTATATATATCATAAGTATTAGCAGCATCATTAGTTGAAGTAATTCAAATAGAAATTGAATTAATGGTTTCTCTTTATAAACAGAGTTTATATATGCAAGATTTTGTATGGAGAGATAGTATATTCAGTTTAAGTAGATTCTATCCAAAAGAATTACAAATATTTTCACATGTAGAAAGAGAAATCATTGAAAATATCTTAGCTTTTGTAGTTTTTAAGAAATATTCTGCCTATACTACAGTATCCTTTTAGGCAGGCATTTTATTATAAGGAAGATTAACAGAAATGAAATAGGAAAAGAAGGTTAGAATAGAAGAAGATTTATTTGATGTTAATTGTAATGATGGTATATAAGGGCCTTTACTATTTCCATTTATTAATTAAACATATACTTATTAAACAGAAACTGTTTGTTCATTTTTTTTATTTGATGATAATAAGAAAGAAGAAATTATGAAACTTATATAAACTGAAAGATCCTCAGAAAGAAGACGAACTCGTCTTTAGACTGATCTACGTGTAAGTGTTTCTGGAGTAAATAGGTAATCATTTGTTTTTTATTTAGATAATCATTTGGATTTTCGTATCTTTTGAGGCCTTCTAAAGTGAATTTGGATATTAATGATTCTAAACATTGAAAAATAATTTAATCATTAATTTAATTATATTTTCATTATCAATATTAAAATGGCTTTTCAATAAATTTATTAAGTTAATCTATTTTTTTAATGAATATATTTTATTAAATTTTTTGTTTTTCTTTTCATTTTTGTAAACTATATTATTACTTTTGAGGAATGAAATTATTGAAAAAAACAACTTACTTAGAACAAAAGTGTACAAAATATTATAATGATTTATGAGAGATACACTTATTTTCATAATAATATCAATATAAAGTATTCATATTAATTCGTTGTTAGAATTTAAGTTTCTATGCATCCTCCTTTTAATCCTAAGGAATTGAAAACATATATTGTTAATTAATCTTGTTCTTTTGATTTCCCACCTTCTAAATCCAAATTAAATTCTTGATTTCTTAATTCTTTATGTCTCTAAATAATTTTAACACTGTTATCAAAGAAAAAAATTGTAATGTTGATGACCCATATAAATACACCAACACTCCAATAGGATCACGAATTAAGTCTGTAACCAAAACAGCTATACTCAATCCTCCAAATAGAATTTCTAATATTATTCCAAAGTAAACTAATAATTAAATCTTAAATAAGATTTTTCTATCTATTGCTAAATTAGATGATTTCAAATTAAACTTCTCTTAATCTTCATCATTTTACTAATGAATTGATGTTTTGTAATCTTATTAACTAGTTCCTAAATAACTTAATTTTTTCTATTCCCCTCTCTCTTTAAATTTTTATTATTGTTATTAATGTATTGATTCCTTTCTTTTCTCAGCAGTATCTTTTGTCTCTTTAACAGCTTTAATTTGCATTTTTACAGTTTCTTGATAAGCTTATCTATCTTCTTCATTTTCCCATTTCATTGAATTAGATTAATTCTCATTCAAACAACAACTATTAATTTCTTCATCAGTAGGTTCCTCTTTAAACTAATTATCTAAGTCCTTTGCAGATTAATCACTATTTAAATCTTAATTTTATTAATTGGATTTATTTGATTTCAATTATTTCAAACTCTCTTATCTAAAAAATGATGATCCTCTCATTCCTTTTACAAATGTACGTGCAAATGATACAGACTTTATTTTTGTTTAACCTAACTTTAATTTTGGTTCATCCATCTATTTTACTTCATCTTAAATTTCATTTTTCTGTTCTTCAATACTTCCCTATCTAGAATATTTTGCCATTCTTAAAACAGACTCTGGTGACTTACTAAGACTATCTTCCTTCTATATTTATAATTAAATTGCTTTTTCCATTCCTTGATATTAAATTCTATATTATGATCTACATATTTTAATCTAATCCCTAATACAAGTTTACAATGATGATCCATATATTATAAACTCTATTATGAACAAAAAGAAGTTTGCCATCAAAAATATGTAACAAACCATCAGAAAGATTGGATATCGTACACCTCTTCGTAAACCTTAAATTATTAATTAATTTACCATTTAATGTACTTACCGTTATCTAAACCAAAAACACTATAAATAATCGAATCTTTAATGCTTCCTTATAGTAAGTAAAAATCCATTTCCTTGACTATTTTATCTCTCCTTGATAAATATTATATGAAATCTCATCGTACATTGTATACCAAACGATTAATAAACAACCATAAATATAAAATAGTATAGTGTATACCACTTCTGCTAACAGTCTCTCAATCACTGTAGTATTCCCACTCTATAAACTTTATAAGTAAATTATATTACATATATTTCGAATGGATCCAGAATCAGCCATATTAATTTACATATTGATAAAACCATTGTTAAGACTAAGATATAATTCTAAGGAGATCCAATCAAAGCGTAGGCATATTAAAAAAAACTAAAATATCATACATCATATTACGTATAATAAGATGGAATTCTTTGAGTCTTTAAAGAAGTTTAAAATTATCTAATAGTTACTAACAATATAAAAAAGAATGCAACACAATAGATCCCAATAAATGTATAATAGGGGGCAATATAAATNATTAATTCTCATTCAAACAACAACTATTAATTTCTTCATCAGTAGGTTCCTCTTTAAACTAATTATCTAAGTCCTTTGCAGATTAATCACTATTTAAATCTTAATTTTATTAATTGGATTTATTTGATTTCAATTATTTCAAACTCTCTTATCTAAAAAATGATGATCCTCTCATTCCTTTTACAAATGTACGTGCAAATGATACAGACTTTATTTTTGTTTAACCTAACTTTAATTTTGGTTCATCCATCTATTTTACTTCATCTTAAATTTCATTTTTCTGTTCTTCAATACTTCCCTATCTAGAATATTTTGCCATTCTTAAAACAGACTCTGGTGACTTACTAAGACTATCTTCCTTCTATATTTATAATTAAATTGCTTTTTCCATTCCTTGATATTAAATTCTATATTATGATCTACATATTTTAATCTAATCCCTAATACAAGTTTACAATGATGATCCATATATTATAAACTCTATTATGAACAAAAAGAAGTTTGCCATCAAAAATATGTAACAAACCATCAGAAAGATTGGATATCGTACACCTCTTCGTAAACCTTAAATTATTAATTAATTTACCATTTAATGTACTTACCGTTATCTAAACCAAAAACACTATAAATAATCGAATCTTTAATGCTTCCTTATAGTAAGTAAAAATCCATTTCCTTGACTATTTTATCTCTCCTTGATAAATATTATATGAAATCTCATCGTACATTGTATACCAAACGATTAATAAACAACCATAAATATAAAATAGTATAGTGTATACCACTTCTGCTAACAGTCTCTCAATCACTGTAGTATTCCCACTCTATAAACTTTATAAGTAAATTATATTACATATATTTCGAATGGATCCAGAATCAGCCATATTAATTTACATATTGATAAAACCATTGTTAAGACTAAGATATAATTCTAAGGAGATCCAATCAAAGCGTAGGCATATTAAAAAAAACTAAAATATCATACATCATATTACGTATAATAAGATGGAATTCTTTGAGTCTTTAAAGAAGTTTAAAATTATCTAATAGTTACTAACAATATAAAAAAGAATGCAACACAATAGATCCCAATAAATGTATAATAGGGGGCAATATAAATGTCTTACAAATTTTGACTACAGTCCTCTCCAAACGATCCAATATCACATCTACACTTGTCTTCAATCAATATTCCTTTGTCACAACATACTGCCTCGCAATTCTTTTGTGTCATTTAATTAATTTAAAATGAAAAATATAAATTTGTTAGTAAATGTATTTTCAATTCTCACACCTCTTTTTAGTTAGTTTTCCACTTACCTAAATTCCTTTAAATTATTAAGAATTTTGTATATTTGCACTTCTTCCTTAATTTCAAATTAAATTCTTATCCAAAATATAATATATATATTTATATATTTAAAATTCGTTAATTTTAAAAGTATATTAAGCATTCTATGAAACTCTTATTTTTAAGTTGTTTGATCATTATCCAATTTAAAAAACAACTTACCTTATATTACTCAAAATTATAAATATTTTATTTCAACTACTAAAGTAAATATAATTATTGACATATATATAAAATAATTTTAATAGTATGAACGATAATATTATATAAAAGCTAAAGGAGCAACATGAATAAGAAAAGTAACAAATGATTAAAGAATTTATGAAGAGAATAGATTTATTATTGCAGAGTAATGTGCAAAAGTACCCAGAAGCTGAAAATTGGAAAGAGTTGATATTGAAATATGAGAAACAAAGACAAAATGAATTATATGAGTTGAGATAGCATTTGGAAGTATTATAAAGATCATAAATCAACACAAAAGATATTGAATTCTATGCAGAAAGAAGAGCTTATGAAAATAAGATCAATGAATTATAAAATAAATTGTAACAAGATGATGTTTAGGATCTTTATGATACTATTGAATATCAAAGAAATGTTATTCTAGATTTAGAAGATTAAATTGGTCTATTGTAGAATGAAAGATAGTAATTGGATTAACATATTTAACAATTGAATTAGACCATAGATGTTCTGAAAGAAAATTTATCAAGATATCAATAATAATAAGATACAAGGAGGAAACAAAAAGCTGAAGTAATGGAGGCTATTGATGAGATGAAAAGAGAAAGGGAGAAAGAGAGAGAAAGAGATACAGATAGATATAGAGATTTAGATTCTTTTAGGTCTCCCTAACGACCATATCGATATAGTCATAAGAGCTCATGGGAACGTAACAATAAAGATTGGAGATTTTCGAATTAACAAGTACCATCTCCTAGACCACCAGTGAGTACAATCCATTATCAGTCTTAACCAATTTTATCGTATCAATAGGAAAATAAGGAAATTGTCTCTAAATTGTAAGAGATTAATGAAATTAAATACAAATACTAAACTGCATTAAATAATATACTTAAATTAGAAGCTTAAGTAATAGAAAAACTATAATAAGATGACATTATAGTGGAATGATCAATTTAATATGTATATTTATGCAAATAAATTTAATAATCAATCTTATTTTTATTTTTATCCATTATTATTTGATATTTATTATTGTAATTTTTCCTATTATTATAGAAACAATTATTGTTCTTAATTTTCTAACTACAATTTCTGTTCTCTTTCATTTTCTTTTTTTTTAAGCTCTTCTGTCCAAGTTCCAGTCATTACTTTTACAATTTCAGGAGATCTAAGAATATCAATCAATTCAAAGTATAAAATATTTTCACTAAATAATAATAATGTATATGATACTTTTTGAAATCTTATTAAGATCTAGCAATAGATATAGCTTAGCAAATCATAATTAAATCATCAGGATGGACCATCCCTTTGAATTCAAGCATCCAAATTTATCCAGAAAAAAATGATCTTATAAAAGTTCCAATAAGTAAAATAACTGATGTATAAATTGTTATGATGCTAAAACCTTAAGTTAGGGTGGAAAAAGTATCTGAGATGACAAACATAATCAAACCATTAGGCTAATCTTTTTTACTAGGTTTGTCACATGTTTCTAACAAACAGGAATTACCATCATAAACAAGAGTCCACCAAGATTGACCATCCAAAGGAGTACTTCCAGAACAAATGAATGATAAATTAGCACTTGCATTACTTTAAACTCCCTACTCATAAATAGGTTTTGATTTAAAAGAAGTTCCATCAGCTGAGTACAATTATACAGTTTCAATATAAAAATTTTATAATTAAATTTACGTTAGGTTTGTAGTTGAATTTGAACTATTTTTTGGATCTGCATAATTTGTGCAATTTAACAATGATTAAATATTTTATAAAATTGGTATTGGTAAAGAGCTCATGTTCTAAAGATTTTTTAAGTATTCATTTCCAGTTGTAGGATATTAAATATAGTTTTTGGTTGGGATAATTTATTATTAATCTCTTGTAAAGATAAATGATAAATTAAAGAAAAATTCATGGTCAACTTCTCCATTTATTTTTTCATTAAGTTATTATATCAATTGTTAATATAAAGGAAAGGAAATATCCCAATTATTATTTGAAAAATTTAATAATTAAAATTGTTATAATTCTCCTGATTTTGGTGCATTATTAATTATTGAATTAGTGCAAGTTTAATTTAAGGCTGTATTGATCTCATTTTGGTTTTCTAAAGTGTTTTCTAATCCATAAAGTTAATTAGTTTAATATAATACAACATTTAGAGCTGTTTTAGTGTTTATCAATGAAAGTTAAAATTCTCCACCTCTTACAGGATTCAATTCTGATGCTGGATTTAAACTTGAAAATAATATCAAAGGACCAAAAATGCAAGCAAAAATGACTAAAACCAAACAACAACCACAAGTGCATTTTTTAAATCCAGAGATTCTTTTACCTAATGGTTTTTCTAAATAATCTTTAGATTAATTTTTTGTAAAATACATTATCCCATGAATGTCTTCTAAAGTAAACCATTAAAATACATCTAAAGAAGTCTATTATAAATTAATTTATTTTTACTTTTAAGAATGTCCAATCCATTAAAACTTTAAGTTCAAATAAAAATGGAATTGCATAGTAAGTTTAAGCTATTGCATATGATATTAAATTATATGATTATAATAAAGTATTTCTAAGTTTTAGCTTTTTATAACCAAATCTAAGCTAAAGAGCAGAAACAGTAAAATATGCAGAGTATAATATGAAAAAACATTGAATGTAACCATTTGATTTGTATTTCGAATATGATGCAGCTGAATTAGAATCATGGTCATATATAGCATTTTAACCCCAGGGATTTCCTAATCTTAAGAAAATCAACCAATATATTAGGATTACAGTGCACCACTATAATAAAAATTTGAGTAAAAATTAGAGTTTATATTTCTAAAAAAATGACTTTTTTTTATTATCACTATCGACGACATCTGCATTACCTTTCATTGTAATATATCTTTCAAAAAACATCAATATGAATTCAACAAGTAATGCCCATATCAAAGATGTTGGTATTTAATTTGTCTTTAAAATATTATTGATTTTTGTTGATTCATTAACCATATTAGTAAAAAAAATAAGAGTGTAAATTAATATTAAAATCTAAATGCTTGCTGTAATTGGATATAAATCAACACCAGGTCTTGAAAACTTGTAAGAAAATATTCTTTCAAATAAATTTGAGGAATCTTTAAATAAAATTTTAGGATCTTCAATAATTCTTTTTTCTATTTCAATGCTTTCTTTCAATTAAAATTAATTATTCTCCTCTTGCTAATTTTAAAGATCATATAAATCTTCTTCAAATACTAATTTTTCTTAATCATCTTATTTTGCCAAGTTTTAATTCTATATAAGACTTTTCTTAATATATTTAGTAAATTTATTGATTTTCATTCTTAAATAACCTTAAAATATATTTTCAATATCTAATAAACTCTTATAATATACGCCATATTATTTGGCAAAATAAACTTAAAAGATTATGAAAATCATTAACATGACTTCATATGAAATACTTTGATTTCCATTATAAAGAGGATAATACCAAGCCATCTTATTTCCATTACTCCTTTTTTAACCCTATTTTTCCCCTACTCCACTTAATGTATAGGCAAACACCAACAGAGATATAAAGAAATATATTGAAAAAGCAATCATCCAAAATAATTTTGATTACACTTTTTCATCAATTAATATCCATAAAAATAACATAAACGGTAAAACACCGCCTAATAATCCACTATCTACTGCATAATAAAAAATAATAAGCAAAAAACAAAAAGGCATCCAATATGTAATTATTAAACTAAAGATTTCTGTAATGATTCTAAATATAAGAATACTTAAAGATAGTTTTGTAAGAGCTGATGAATATTTAGTATTTTCAACTTAAATTAATTATTTGTCATCAACTATTTTTACAAAATACAAATCTGTAGATTTAATGTAATTTTCATAATTAATATCTTCTTCAATAGGTTATTACTATATTTAAGGAGATATAGAATATTAAGACTAGATTAATGCTTACTTTGATTATTTTGAAGTCAACTTCATTGATGAGATAATCTTTTGCATTTTTCGACCTATTTTTGAATTATTATATGAAGATTTTTCTAATCTTGAGATTAATTCATCTGTTATTTAAGTAATATCTAAAATTTAATTTGGACTGGCTCTTAATTTTTTGTGTAAATGTGAATAGAATTAATCTATATATAATAATTCTTCTTCAAATTATCTATAATTTTCTTGAAGGAAATCAGACAAAGGGAATTAAACTCTTCTTTTTAAAATAATGTTTTAAGATAGCAAATAATCCATAATATTTGGTAGACTCATAAATTTGAATTTATTATTGAAAGATTAAATATAGGCAATTATTTCTATACATGTTTTCTATGATTTACTTAAACTTTGAAATTTAGTATCTTTTAATAATTTTTCTTCTGGCAACTCTGCACTTTTTCTTTCTTCTTAAGCAATTTCAAATTAACTAACAAATACTTTTCTAACTGGTATTTCCAATTCACTATTAGGTTATATTTATTATTACTATTGTTAGAATTATTAATCTTATTATTATTATTATTGTTATTCTTATTATTATTATTATTGTTATTATTATTATTATTATTATTATTAATCTTATTATTATTATTATTATTATTATTATTATTATTATTATTATTATTATTATTATTATTATTATTATTATTATTATTATTAATCTTATTATTATTATTATTATTGTTATTGATACTAATTAGGCTATTATTATTATTATTCTTATTATTCTTATTGTTAATATTCTAATTGCATGTCATCAGCCATCATTACTTTATCTTTAGTTTTATCAAGCAATTTTGCATGCCACATTTTTAATTTTTCTTAAGCTTTTTCTTATGTTTTTTTAAATAATTCTTTTTATACTGTTACTTAAATTATTGCAGTGAATTTCTTAAAATTCTTATGATAGGCAAGTGCCCTTGAAATCATTTTGGATTATTATTGTTCAAGAATCATAAATCTATTTAAAGATTCAATAAATTATTCTGAATTTATTAAATCAAAGTGAAGTGATATAAAGAATATAATAAAGATCATTCCTCCAAGTTTCATTTCGAAAATTTCTAAACAAATAAACTCATTTTAATAATCTTATGCTTTAGTAAAGTTTTCTTCTGCTTAAGATGCACACCAATTCAAAATCCATGGCAATCTCAAAATAGTATACATTGATATAGTAAATACTGCTAAATAGAAAAGAACTTTGAAATAAATGCTTTCTCTTCTTAAATTTGATTCTCTATTTGATGTTAGTACCAATTCAAAAATAACCAAAAACAATACAGCCATGATAAATTCAAAATAATTTAACAATATTCTATTTGATTAAGCTAATAAAATGATAATTGAAATAAAGACGATATGATTAATTTTAATAACCTATTAAATTATGCCTGACATTGTTGAATATACTCTATTTTTCCAAGTTTAATAATTTAAATGGATAGAGAATTTGCTCTTGGAGTAAAGCTTTTATAAAATAGATTAAGTGAATTACAAATCTAATTCCATTTTAATTGTTGTAGATAAAATCAATTTAGATAAATGTTGTAGGAGTAAAAAATACAAATATATAAGAGAAAGTACAAGAGTATTTAAAATAAAGATCCATTCAATATTATTATTAGTAATACAATAATGACTTTCTAAGAAATTTGTTTCAGTTGAATTAGATGAACTTGAATTTTAGTCAAATTTTGAGCAATCCATAATGGCTCCATTATCAAAACCAAGATAGGGAATGAAATATGGATAATTTTAGAATACTGTAGCCATTTTAATTACACTAAAATCATCTTTATTATATGTAGAAGCCATAACAGGCAATAATTTATCATTATCCTCTATTTCGTAATTTAAAAAGTATATCATAATATATTATATCCAAATAGCAACAACTGAAAATGTGTTTAAAATCTTAATATTGGATGCTCCAGTTTTTTATAAAAATAAATAGGTAGCTACACCCAAATAAACTAAAGAAAATATATTATTAGCTAAAAGAGTATTAAATAATAAAATTAAAATAAATACTCTTTGCAATGTCACAAATCCAGCAGTTGTTAAATTTAATTTAAATATTCTAGATCTGTTATTATAGAAATTAATATCTTTAGCAGCAATTTAAATCTTCTTCAGGTCTTCTAAACTTAATTCTTATGGTTAATCATATTTATTTATAATATTAATAGATAAAAATGGATATTGTTGCTTAAATTCTTCTAACTCTTTTTAATCATCTATTTCTTATTATTCTTAAATGAACTAAGTGGGACTATCTCCTTCAGCTTGATTATGAATACCTTTCAAAGTATGAATCATCGATCTTGATATAACTTATCTTGATTCAGTTTATTATTTTTATTTTTAAAATTGATGTTCAAATTTTGATATATTTTATTCTTCCTTTTCAAGTTATTCCTTAAGAAACATAGTACATCCAGCATCTACAACATTTGCAAATACAAGTATTAAATAGAATAATACCTCATCAAAAATAGTAGATGATGAATTATTGATAGATCCATAACATTTATTATTTAAATCAAACTATCCACAAAAACATGTTTAAGCATTAGATTCTTAAGCAAATGTACCAAATATAAATAATCCTAATTAAGCATCTAAAATTCCTTATTATTTTTCTTCATCAACTTATTATATCACTAAAGATAAATATTATGATAAATAAGTTAAAAATACACAAAAGCAACTAAAACTAAATGAGATTTTCCAAATTGAAACTTTTTTTTCAATACGAATTCTCATTCTAGTCATTGCTATTAGATTTGTAGTCTAAACTAGATTGATTTCATCCTCATTGTCATTATGATCTATTTATTTAGAATTGTAATCAACATATTTTTTTTTCAAATTCACAATTTCTAATAAATAAAAATATAAATATACTTTATTTTAATCTTGCCAACAAATTTTTTTCTTATACATTATCTAATAATGCATTATGAACAGTGACAAAATAACTTAAATACAAAACCAAAATAATGAAAGATGCAATTGATTAAACAAAAAAGACTACAGAAAATACAACATATAAAGTAAGTAAATCTGTATTAATTTCTGCTATGAACATTATAGGCTTTTAAAGGAATTTATATTTTTCTAAGATATTGATTTTCATAATTTTGACTAAATCTTCTAAGTCTTTCTATTATTGTTTTTCAATTTTATCAGTAATTGCGACATCACTGGAACCAGACTACTCTAATAATGAATCAGCTGATAATAGTGGCTTTTCTATAGTATATGGAGTTTGATTTGTCATAGTTGCCAATTTTAACTTACTCTTTTAGGCTTCTTTAAAAAATTAATAAGTATTCAAAGAAATAGCTCCAAAAAATATGGCAATCATATCAGGTAAGTACTCAATTCTTAGTTTGCTTTAATTATATTAATAAAATCCATATTATTGATATTTAAGTTATAAATTTGTATACAGATTATCTAGATTTGAATCAATTATTTAATTATAACTGGGCAAACAAATAAATTAAAATATATATCTAATTATAAATGCCATTACAAGTGAATATAAATATAAATACCAACATCTAGACATGGAATTATAATTTACTTAATCTCTAATGAATTGAAATGTATAATAAAAAAAGAGTCCTCCTATAAAAATAAATAATCCTAAATTAACAAAAGAAAATGGTGTAAAAATAATAAAGCAAATATTTAATGTAAATGTAATCCAAATGATTGTTTTCATAAATAACAAATATAGAGTTTCTATAGTAGTTCTTATTTTTGTTTGTTTTTCCTTATCACTGATCTTTGCTAAAAATATATCAACTATTTAATTTGAATATTTAAGATAAATCTTAGATCTATAGGAATCGTATTAAAGGGCTGCAAAATAAAATAATACCCAAAATAGAATGTCATAACGTTCTTAATTGTTTATTCCAATCAAACTGATAATCCAAAGTTTATCTTCTTATATATTAGTTTGTCCCAAAAAGAACAAAATATATATATATCTCAAAGATGTGATTATGCATATGTAGATTAAAAATATAATCCAATATTTAAATGAGAAGGGAACAACATATTCCTTAATTTCATTCTTTTCATTTTTCTATTTGTAAATGCAGAGAGTGGAATCATTTATAATAAAAATCATAAGAAATACTACTAGAACACCTTATATAAGATTGACATCGAAAAATCCAATCCAATATACTATAATTAAAGCAACAACATATGAGGCTTTTAATAAAATGGCAAATGTTAAGGTTAACCAACTTACATCCTAAAAAATAAATATTATTTTAATTACTTTTAGCGATTTCTTTTTTTCTTAAATTTATAATTAAGATCTTTTAACTGAAATTTATATTGATTTAAATTAATCATATTTATGAACTTATCTAAGAAATAAAAAAAATGTATAAATAGTGATATTCATTATAAGAAGCTAAAAAAATTATTGTAAATAATTACATTAATAACTTATTTGTATTCTTAATCAAGATTAAAAAAACCAATTTTTTAACATGTCTCTGATGGATGCTGATCTTAAAATTTACAAATCTAAAATGGATTATTGGGATCATTCATATTAGGTATACATTAGTAATAAAATACAATAAAATTGATCAATACAGATGGCAATGCCAAAACCAATGAAGTAAATGAATTAATATTATATTAAAGTGTGAAACCTATGATATAATCAATTAAATATACCTGTAATCATAATCCAAATAACAGATAATAATGATTCATAAGTCTTTTACATTATAACAATAGTTATCATCAATACTTGGAGTAATCTAAGTGTAACAATAGGTTGATCAATAAATTTAGAAAAGTTATTTCCTAAAGAAAAGAGTGCTTTATTTAAATTATATAGTAGTTTATTTTTATCTTCTTCTTCACCTTCATCTACATGAGACATTCTAACAGGTTAACCAGGCATCATTTATTTTAATTCATTTTCATCACTTAATTATTATTATTTTGTTTAAATTTCTAATTCATCTTCTTCTTTTTATTATCCTTAAATATTAGGAGCCTCTTTATCTTCCATTATAGTAGTGTTATATTTTTATTTTTTAAATTGATAAATCTCATAATGGGTAATACACTCTTATATAGCATCTCTAAATAATATTTTTCTATCTTCATTTGTAAATTGCTCTGTTACAATGCATAAGAATGCAAATAATGTCAAACCTCCAACCATGAATACGTAACTCTATTTCAGAATAATATTTTACATTCCATTAATTATCTGTTCTCATCCAATACATAATATCTAAACCAAAATATTATGGCCAATATGAATTTTAATTAACAAATTAAGTAATTATTGGAGTACCAGCAAAATAAACAATTAATAATGTACTTATTAAAGTAAATTTTAGGATTTTTAAAACTAATTTATCAAATTTTGTTATTATTATTTCTTTTTAAAAGAATCTAAAACCAACTATCATTTCCAAAATAAAGTAAATATATCCTATTATTGATTAATTACAAATTAGAATTAATGCTAAAACAAACCAAATAATTATAAAATAGAATGAAAATATTTATCTATTTATGGGTTCTCCAAATTATTCTAAATATTTCTTTTTCTTTACTCTTCTTAATGCAATTACAAAACAACAAAATATAAATATAAGCGAGTTTGGTAAAAATATTTTAATATAGTCTTTAGTAGTAATATTAAATTTGTTATTTTTCTGCAATTCAAAATAGATCTCAATACCTTCATAATTATATGGTGACATAATATTTATTGCTTATTAAGGATCATTTTTAATTATTCCTATAAATGTCCCTTTCATTACCAAACTTAATGCTGAAAATATCAAAAGAAACATCCATATTGCATAGTTTTAGTCTTTGAATATTATCCAATATAAGGGTTTATATTTAATTTCAGTTTCATCTAATCCAGATATTTCTGTGACATCATCTTCCATATTTGGATTATAACCTGCAATTGTTTTCCTTTACTTTTATTATTCTCGTATTTTAGGATAATTCTCAAGAAAATCTAATGGATCTTTGTAAACCTTACTATATGCTATGTATTTACCTTTTTATCAGAATCTCTTTTCTCAAACATACCTATTTTATGCAACTAGGTTTCCCAAGTTTGAATAATCAGCATGAATATCAAGAAATAGATTGTTGAGAGATAACTTTGAATGAGATAGCAATACCCAAGAAATATAATTAATCCTAATACATCTAAAATCCTTAATATCCATCTTTAGGTTGTGTTAGAAAAGAGAGACTTTTTCTCTTCTAATTATTAAAGCTCTTCATTCTACTCTCTTTCTTGAATCATTTTAATTTCTGCATCTTTTTACATTTCTTCTGATTACATGTCATTTCCTTACATAATATATATTTATAAAAAATAATCATATTAATCAATTTGTTGATCCTCATAAATTACACAATAATCTTTCTTATTTTCAACCAAATATAACATTCAAAATTTTTATTTTAGAGAGTGTATTTTGTATATTTCAAAAAGATGATGCTATTCTATATAAATTTTAAAATTTTATCATAATTAAATTCTCATTCTATTCAAAAATTATATACTTCCTTTCAAAATTTAATACTATAAATTATAATTGAAATATTGCCTTCCCATAAATATTAAAATAATATTTTTAATTTCACTTCACTTTCATTAATTTATTAAAAATTGTATCTATATTGCAAAGAACATTGTTGAAATTTCTTGAATAATAACAGAGCTCTAACTAATCTATTTTTTGAATTTATTCTATTTGTTTAAGTTAATGTTTAATATTTATGTAAATTAATAATATCATCAAACTAATTTCCTTAATTAAAAAAACTAAAACTCATTTTAAGATTCCAAATAAGTCCATAGAAATTGACCCATAGATCAGGAGTTCATTTAAAAGGCAAGCTCTTTTATGATAAATTAGAGTTAAATGATCTCCATAAATCTTAAGAGTTAATTTAAAAAGAAAACCAAAAATTTATTTGATTTCACCTATTAAGTTTTCTTAACTAATTTCTAATTCAGTTACAAAAAGTATCTTATTTAAATTTAATATATATATAAATAGATTTAGTTATTTTTTCTTACTTTATTTTAATCAAGTATACAAATATAAAAAGAGTTATTCAACTCTAAAATTGAAAAACAAATAGAATAGCTTAACAAATAAATAAGAATTTGTATATATCAATCTAATTTAAATGTTATAAGATTATGAAACTTAAATTTGAAATAATTATATGTAGATATTTGAAATAATGTTATAAAAGATAGATTAAATATTTATAAATCGATGATTAATTTAATATAAAAGGTATTAATATTTAAATAAATTAATGCAACTTAAGTATTCCTGTAATATTATGCCTGCTTTAGATGGCATGTAAAAAGTAAGTGGATTAGCATGGTCTTACAATGGTCAAAAGCTTGGTGTTTGTACTGCTGATAGAGTAAGAGTTGTAGATAATAAAATTAGAAAATATTATTATTTAATGATTAATTGGGTAAGGAGGACAATTTCCCAACGAAGCCATCAGATAAAACTCAATAGAAATCTTATGTAGTAAGAGCAATAGAATTTTCTCCAGATTCAACAAAAATAGCTGTTGCTCAATCTGATAATATAGTTTATGTATATAAGATTGGTGCAAAATTTAAAGAGAAAAAGACTATCTGTAATAAATTCCCAGCTTCTTCTTCAATAACAACATTGATATGGCCAGCATAAAGAGAGAATGATATCATATTTGGATTAGCAGAAGGAAAAGTGAAGATTGGATTTTTGAAAAATAATAAAGTAATGAATTATACTAATGTTATTAGTCTTAAATAGCATTCACAACAGAATCATATGTAGTTAGTATGGCAACTAATAGAGATGGAGATATGGTTGTATCAGGTCATCTTGATGGATCAGTATACAGTTACAATTTAGACACCTAATAATCATAAAAGTTAGTAGTGCATCATTCTATACCTTATGCTTTAGCTTATGGTTAGCATGTGGCAGCAGCTGGTAATGATTAAAAAGTTTCATTTTATGATAATTATGGTAATCTAGTTTAAAGATTTGATTACACTTAAGATGAAAAATGCAAGGACTTTTCAGTAGGTGCTTGTAGTCCTAATGGAGATATTATAGTATTAGGTAATTTTAATAGATTTTATCTTTATACATATAATCAAAAGAGATCATAATGGGAAGAAATAGGAGTAAAACATATAGAGAATTATTATACAATTACAGCATTATGTTGGAAAAATGACTCATCAAAATTAATAACTGGTTCATTATGTGGTTCAGTTGATGCATGGGATATTTCAATGAAAAAAATTAGATTTAAAGGAAAATATGATTTGAATTATATTGGTCCATCTTAAATTGTCATTTAAGTTTTATCAACAAATTAATAAGCAGTTATTAGATCATCTTAGGCTGAAATATCAAAGATTGATATAAAAAAAGAGAGATTTGTAGTTGCTAAAACACATGAAACATTAATTGTAGGAGATTTGGCAACAGGAAAGACATCAGAAGTAAGTTGGAGAGGAAGTGGAAATGAAAAGTTTGATTTTACAAATGAAAATATTTGTATGGTATTTAATGCAGGTGAATTAACTTTAATTGAATATGGAAGTGATCGTATATTAGGTACATGTAGAACTGAACATATGAAAAATTCACTTATTAGTGCTAAAGTTAGTTATACTGGTTAGAATAAAACTAAAGTTATTGCCTTTTTATTAGATTTATAAACACTTTAAATATAAGATTTAACAACTAAAAGTATTATTGCTACAATTGCTCATGATACTAAAATAGATTTCTTAGAATTGAATTCTCATGCAAATAGATTAATATTTAGAGATAAAAGAAGATAATTGTATTTATATTCAATAAAAAATGCATTTAAACATACTCTATTATCATTTTGTAATTATGCTTAATGGGTACCAGAAAGTGAAGTTATTGTTGCATAAAATAGAAATAATTTGTGTGTTTGGTATTCTATTGAAAATCCTGATAAAGTTACACTTTATACAATAAAAGGTGATGTAGAAGAAATTGAAAGAATTCCAAGTACACCTACTTAAGCTGGTTCTACTTCTGTTATTGTGAGTGAAGGTTAAAGCAAAGTTGCATATAAATTGGATTAAGCATTAATTGAATTTGGATTTGCAATTGAAGGAAGAGATCTTGAAAAGGCAGCCTCAATTTTAGATAAATTAGAATTGACATCTGATACTGAAGCAAATTGGAAAGTTTTAGCATAATTATCTTTGGAAGAATAAAATTTATCTGTATCTGAACATTGTTATGCTGCTTTAGGAGATGTTGCTAGAGCATCTTATTTGAGAGGTATTAATAGACTTATATCAAAATATTATGAAGAAACTGGTAAGAAGGATGGAATATCATATTATAAAGTTTAATCTAAATTGGCTATTTTAGATAAATAATTTACTAAGGCTGAAGAATTATTACTTAATAATAATGAAGTAAATGAGGCTATGGGAATGTATTAAGATTTACATAAATGGGATGAAGCTATTAAAATTGCTGAAAAGAGAGGTCATGAATAAGTTAAAGTTCTTAAAGAGAATTATTATTAATGGTTAATTGAAACTGGATAAGAATCTAAGGCAGCTGAATTAAAAGAAAATGAAGGTGATTTTATTAATGCTATTAATCTTTATTTATAAGGTGGATTACCAGCAAAAGCTGCAAATATTGTATTTAATTGCAATATGTCTTTCCCATAAGATTTATTGGAAAGAATTGCTTAGTCTTTAGCTTAAAGTGGTATGTATGAAAAAGGTGGAGAATTTTATGAATAAATGGAAGATGATTAATAAGCTTTGAATTGTTATATTAAAGGAAATGTATTCAAAAAGGCAGTTGAATTGGCTAAAAGAAAAGATCCTAAATTAGTTAAATAATTGGAAGAAAGTTGGGCAAATTATTTAGTTGAAAACAAAGAAACAGAAAGTGCCATCAATCATTATGTAGAAGCAGGCAAATTTTAGAAAGCTATTGAAGCAGCAGTCTATAGTAGATCATGGACTAAAGCTATTTAATTATTATAAAATTAATCTGCTGAAGTTTCAAGACCATATTATAGATAAGTGGCTAAACATTATGAAGATGTTAGATAATATGATTTTGCTGAAAAATATTATATAAAGGCTAATTCTCCTATTGAGGCTTTTGAAATGTATGTAAAAGCTAGTAAATGGGATAAAGCACTTTCTATAGCTAGAGAATATTTACCTGAAGAAATTGTTTAATTATATTTGAATCAAGGTAAGAAATTTGAATAAGCTGGTAAATACAAAGAAGCTGAAAAATTATATTTAACAGTTTAAGAGTATGATACTGCTATTTAAATGTATCAAAACTTATCCTAATATGAAAGTGTTATAAGAATAGCAAGCAAATTCACTCCTTAAAAATTAAAAGATATACATTTGGGAATTGCAAAAAAATTAGAAAGAGAAAACATACTTAAAAGAGCTGAATAACATTATATTGAAGCTGGATCATGGCATTTAGCTATGTAAATGTACAAGACTCATAATCAATGGGAAGAAGCAATTAGATGTTGTAAAATGTATGGATCTGAGAAAGAAACATGTTAATAAGCTAAATTATGGGCAGAATCATTAGGTCCAGATGCTGGATTGAAGATGCTTCAAAGATTAAATTTGGTTGATGCTTTGATAGAATATTAATCAGACAGACATGAATTTGAAGAAGCATTTAAATTGTCTAATTTACATGCTAAACATAAATTATAGGATGTGCATTTTAAATATGCTTGTCATTTAGAAGATGAAAGAAGATACAAAGAAGCAGAAGAAAATTTCATAAAGGCAGGTAAAGCATCAGAAGCCATAAATATGTATGAACATCTTGGAGATTATACAAGTGCATTATAAGTTGCTCGTCAATATGAACCATAATCTGTTACTTAAATTTTAATCAGTTAAGCAAAGTTCTTTATAGAGAAGAAAGATCTTTAAAAAGCAGAACAAGCTTTTATTTAAGGTAAAAGACCTGAATTAGCAATAAAAATGTATGTTGATTAAGGTAATTATCCATTGGCTTTGAAAATTGCTAAGAGTCATGCTCCTCATATGGTTGCAGAATTAAATAATAAATATGGTAATGTAGCTAATACATATAATATGACAGGAGAGGATTTATATTAAAGTGCTTAAACTTGGGAAGAACAGAGAGATTATTTAAAGGCTATAGAAATCTATTTGGAAGTTACACCTTAGAATACTTAAAGTGAAGATGTAATGACAAGAGCATGGGAAAGAGCTATCTAGATAGCAGCCAATTATGATAAAGATAAATATCCAAGAATTGTATAGATAGTTTGTAAGAGATTAATAGAAATTAAGAAATTAGAAACAGCAGCATATCTTTATGAATAAGTTGGATAATATTAAGAAGCAGTAACTACTTATGTTTAAGGTAGAGAATTTGAGAAAGCAAAATAAGTTGCTTAAATGATTAATAATAAAGAATTAAATACTAAATTAATGGATTACATTACCAAAGAATAACGTAAATATGGAGCATCAACAGGATAAGCAAATGTAATGATTGAAACTGGAGATGTTGCTGCTGCTATGGAAATGTTAGCTTAAAAAAATGATTGGGGATAATGCTTATAATTAGCTGATAAACATGGTGTTGAATATTTAAATAAATATCTAATGAGATATGTTAAAATTACTATGTAATAAGGTAGATTTAGTGAAACAATTCAATCATTAGCTACTTATGGAATGCCAATCATCTAATAAAATTATCCAATTTATGAGAATCTAGCTATCGAAATCTTTGTTGAATGTGATCCAAAAGAATTGAAACTACTTAGATAAGCTTTGTATGGATTTATTTAAGGATTAGAAGCTGCTCATGAATTAAAAAGTGAAACAGGTAAGAAATTCTTAAAATTTGGTATTGTTGCTCATTTACTCAATCTTAGAAATTAATATGCTTAAGATGGTATTGTTAAGTTGCATGCTTAAACTTGTATTTCTTTATTAAGATACTGTGATTTAGTAAGAATTGATTAATTGTATTTGGATGCTGGAAGAGTTGCTAAGAAGACTAATTAATTAGGATTAGCATTTGTTTTAATGAATAGATATTTAGATATATATGAAGTTATTGAAGATCCAGATAATAATAATGGTTTAGGTGATGGAGCAGAATTCTAAAATAGTGATTTACCATCACCTTATGATGTACCAATGCCAGAAAAGAATTTAATATCTGACAAAGAAAAAGAAGAAATAAGAGATTGGTTACTATAATTATCTGTAAATCAAAATTAAGAACCAGTATTACCAACTAGATAATGTGATTGTGGATATTAAATATATGATGCATCATTGAAGTAATTACATATATATATAATTATTTAGATGCTTTAAATGTAAGTAAACATGGGAGCCTTGTATTATAACTGGTATGCCACTTCTTAAAAATTAAATAATTAATTGTTAATCTTGTGGAAAAGGGGCACTCAAAGATGCATGGAATACATATTTACAAGCATATCCAACCTGTCCATGGTGTAATAAACATGCAAAATGATATCATTAAATAAAGAAAATAATTATAAAATAAAATATTATTTATATATATTATTTATAACTTCTCTTTATTTCACAATTTATTAAATCTTTATTATTTAAAGTGTTATTACTTTTTGTAAAATATTCATATAAATTTTTTATTTAAGTAAATTTATACATATAAGATAATTAATTTGAAATTTCACTTAGAAAAGAAATCAAAAAATTTTTCAAATCTTTTAACCTAGATATTGGTTTAATAATAAATTTAATTCTAAGAAAATCAATTATTGCTATTATTATTTAAGTTTTTGAATATTTTCATTTTAACAATCCAATTCAGTTTTCCTTTTCTATTAATCCAAATTATTGTTTTTGTCTAAAATCTTACTTCTCAAAAACCAATTAATTTTTAATTTGAAAATTATACTTAGCAATGAAATTCAAAAATCTTATGATCGTATTGAATTATAATAAATTTTCTTAAATGAAAATTATTCAAATTAGATTATTGTTTAAAATAGTTGAAGCCTTACATTAGTCATTATAGATTACAAATATATATATATTTAAAACTATTAATTATAAGAAAAAGCTTAATACAGATCTTAAAAATCTTTAGGTTATTCATTAAAATTATGAATTGCTTTCTTTTTAGATTTAGGATTAATGAAAAATTTTAGAATATTAATTTTTAATTTATTTATTAGTTTTATTTTAATAAATATTGAAATGTAATGTTTAAATTTGTTTTATTATCAATAATTACCAATCAATATAATTTAGTTAATAAAAATTGAAAGAAATTGAAAAATATTTAATTTCAAAAATTTTCTTCTTCTTTTTATATGCAGATAACCATTAATCAATATTACTATAAAATTTTGAAAATTAATTAATTAAAAATAAGAATATTAAAACAAAAATATTAAAAAAAATATTATAACTGCGAAAATAATATAATTATACGATTAAATTAAAATTTTATAATATTATCTTATAAATATTATATTTATTTTAGAATTACTATTTAATATCTATATTAAATTATTTGAGATTAATTCTCCTTAGTTAATCTAAAGTATATTACAATTTAAATTTTAATGATTAAGAGATAATATGAATTCTAAGTTTAAGATTTTTTCAATATTACAAAAATAAATAATTTCATTTAAGACTCCTCTATTTAACAAGCAATCGATATTTTGGAACCATTTCTGATGGGGTTTTTTCTTCATCAACACAATCCTCAATTATTTCATATTAGTCATATCCAGGTGAAATAAATTACTTAAAATAATTAGCTTCATCTTCTTATTCAAGAACTTCTCCTTATTGATATTGTTAAAGTGGTGATTATTCACTTAAAGGAGATCCCTTTTAGTTCCAAAGAGGAGTAGAACTTTTAATAAAACCTTCCTAATCCAATCTTGTTTAGAATACAGGTAATTTAGTTAATGATAAACTTACAGCAATATTTGTCTTAGGATTTGCAAACCAGTCATGTTGAAGTGCCTATTATGCACTTGGTCTTATGTTGACATTCTCATCTAATAATAATCGAACAAAGTCTTATGCAGCTGGACTAATTGATTTGTTGTTGAGCTTATTGAAATTAACTTGGCAATAAGCATTTTATTTTAATAAATCATCTGTATCGCTATTGTCTTAGAAAGGCATTTCTCCAGTTAATAAAATGAATAAAATAACACCTACAGAGAACATATCAACTTTATAATCATAAAATTCATCTCGTAAAACTTCAGGTGCAACATATCCAACTGTACCACACCTTTAAAACAAATAAATTCCTTATTCATTGTAAATATCTGATAGACCAAAATCAGCAATAACTAAATCAGTTAGACAATCCTTTTATTTAAGTATTAAATTTTCTGGTTTAATGTCTCTATGTATTATATTTTTTTAATGTAAATAATTTAATGATGATAATAAATTTTACATTAAATTCTATACTAAATGTTCTGAATATCCCTCTAATGAATTTTCAATTTATTTTAGTAATTCTCCACCTTGTAAATAATCTACAACCAAATAAACATTATTATCATCTTCAAATACTTCATGTAATTATAACACATTCCTATGCTCTAATTTTCTCATTATATCTATCTCTTTCATTAAACTATCCTATAAATGTGTATATTAAGTAAAATACTAGTCCTTTTTCTTTGTTTGTTAATTTTTCTGATTTAAAAATTTTGACAGCAAAAATGGATGAATCTTGAATGCGTTCAACTTTATACACTTTTGCATGAGATCCCTTCCCTATCATCTTTAGTACTTAATATTTTTTATAGAAATTTCTTTATATTGTATATTTAGACATGTAATTTTTCCATTTGGAGATAACATCGGGATTTCCAAATATTTATAAACATTCTTTTTTTCCTGATATTTACAATCCTTCTAACTAGTATATTAATGCTATAAATACATTTTTGTAAATAACAGATTTTAAGCTTAAATTATTGATGTTTACGTGACAGCTATTTGATATGAGATATGAATTAATCATGTGATAGCAATTTCTATAGACTAGATTGTCCTTTTCGTCTCTAACTTAAATGGGAATTTCTTTTGAATTTTATCTTAGTTCTCTATCAATTTAAAGGATTGTAGGTAATCCTTTCTTCCAAAGAGTTGTATTTCTAGTCGGGTATTTTTCAAAAATAGATTAGTTAATTTGTTTCATTTATTTTATATTTTTACTCTCCAAAAATTTTAATAAGCTATTAATTGTAAAAAAATGATTCTATGATAATTAATTACTTATAAATAAATATAAAATAAAAATAATTTTGTATTTATAAAAATATATCTATAAATATTTGATTCTTATTGATAAATTTTGTAATTATTATTTGATGATATTCATTTGAAGAATCGATATTCAATATCTATTTCCTCTTAAAATGTCTTAATTATTATTATTAAGATAATCTATGATATTGTTTTTTTTTTCTGCAAATATATCTAATACAAAAGGTTTACAATCCTTATTTGTATGATCAACTTCTTATCTTATTACAATAATATATAAATTAATATGTATCTAAAAATTTACTTGCCATAAGAAAGAATTGTGTATCTTATAATAAATATACTGAACATGTTATTAGAATATAAAAAAATTTAAGTATATCTAATTTTATTAATTACACATTAATATATTAGTGATTTTAATATTTTATATTTAAATAAACTATAATGTTAGCTTAATTATTATATAATATAATAAAAATCATTAAATTATTTAAATTCCATCTCCTGCAGTTCTTAAACAAGCACATCCATAATATTCTACTCCTCCAAAATCTGCCTCTATTTCAAGTGATAAATTTTAAGTTGTATTAGTAAGAATCAATAAATCTGCATCTAAATCTATAGTAATAACAATAATATCATTTGTATTAATCTAGAAATCACTTTCCTTTGAATTCTGATCATCTTTATGATTATTATACATAGTTCCATTTGAAGATACTAGATAGGATCCATGTCCTATAGATTAATATCTTTTTTGAGAATACAAAGTAGATAATTCTGTAACACCTACTGCATACCATGAACTTATCACTTGGGAACATCTATTATTTTTAGTATTATTATTTATACTTAAACTTCCATTATTTTCTTTATTCTGAAATTGGATTATTAAATAAAACAAATCTATCTTTCTTTTTACTTGCTGTTGACTTAACAAATGCAAATGTCTTATCTAAATTTAGAAATATATCTGGATCTTTAAATCGATTGGAAAACCTAAAATCCTATTTGTCTTTACTTAATTATTGTATCTCTTTTTTTTAATTCAATTTCAAGTTATTATTGTTTTTGAATTAAATTTTATATTTCTTTGTCATGTTGAGATTTTATATATATCAAACAATCTTTAAATTTATGATTTTCAAATTATTCCCTTATTATTATTTGATTACAATTTTGACATGTTTATGGAAATTTAGGACATTTAGTTTAATGTATGTAATAAATACTAAAAGTAAATCTTTAAGAACAACCAACACAACAAACTGGTCTTAATGGACATTCATTTTAATGAATTAATAATTATTGTAAAGAATATTCTACACTACAATAATTACATTTTTCTATATTCTAATCACAAATTAAGAGATGACTAGATTAATCCTTTATTTTTATTTTAATATAACATTTTGGACAATTTATTAAAGCCTCTTCACATTTGAGCTCATGCATTTCTAATTTAAAATTGCTAAACTAAAAGAATAGTTATTCTATTTATTACAAATTAATGACAATGACAACATTCACATTATCTATAATTACATTCATATATCCTATGTTTTTGTATATCCTTCTTAAATTTTACAACATTACATTATAATTTACCATCCATTAATCCACAAATTTCTTCACTATAATCACATTATTTAATATGTTTATCGTAAGCATCATAATCAATTATTGCTTAACATCCTATAATTATAATTCTATCATAACCTTAATTAAAATGAGGACATTTCATTTTTAATTAACTCAATAATTATCTTAAAAGTGGAAATGCTTTTCTTGTCTCACTAAGACGATTGCATAAAGGACATTTTGTGCTCTTTTTAATAATCATTATATAATTACTTATTTCTTTTGGTAGCATTTCCTACAAAAATGATTCATACATGAGTCACATGAAATTGGATCCAAATATACATTTAAACATATTGGACATTTAATATCATAAGGATTGACATTCTAAGACTATTAACTATTATATCTTACATTGCTTATAACCTACTCAACTTCTAAGAAATAATCTTCTAAATTATTTTATCCTTCAAATTATTTTTACATGTAAATATATTATAAAAATTAATTATCATAACCTTTCTTTGAATTAATACAATACAAAAAGGAGACATAAAATAATGTGTTCTAGCATATATTTAGAAATAATATTTCTAAATAGAAATCAGTACTTATAATTTAAAAGAAATAAATTAATCTAACTTCTACTTTAAAATTCGATATCATTAAAAAAAGTCTTAAATTCTGTTTCTACCCTACATTATCAAGTGATCTCATAAAATTTAGAATTAATTTCTAAAATTTAAAGAATCAATCAATTAAAAAAAAAGAATAAATTAATTTAATATAAATGTATTTACAATTTAAACAAAAATTTATTTATTATAAAACTATATAATTTTCATTTTTAGCATTAAAATCTTTTTAATTATTGAAAACAAATAATTTGATTAAATAGGCAAATAAAATATAAATAGGATCCTTTTAAGAAAAGGTAGTTTAATATTGAAGTAAGGATAAGCTACTTAATTATTATGAAAAGTGCAAATTCAATACACCGCCATCAAGTTTTATTATTTTTTTATTAGAAAATAAAATAACTAATATTCAAAACTATGCTATTGTTATTCTTTTAAGATTTATTGCAATTAAAAAAGAGTTAAACAAAAATTTAATTTGACATAGAAAAAACTCAAATAGATTTGAAAAAAATTTTAAATTAATTATTTTGTTTAATAAAGAATATCTAGATTTATTAACTTAATTATTTTTATAATGATTGTTAATATTAGCATCAATGTCTGTTTTATTCAAAGAGGTCTTTTATAAAAAATAATTGTTAAAATTATTAATTAAGAATTTAAAAGAAATTGAAAATCAGATAATAAGGTCAAATTTTAAATAATAATTAAAAAGAGAAGCTTAAATAATTCAATAAAAAATAGATGATCAAATTTAATTTATTAAATATATGACTTGATTTAAAGAAAAATCTATATATTAGGAAGAGATTAATAATCAATAAATATATCTTTAAATTTTTAATCAAATAAAAGGTTAAAACAATGAATCAGTTTTTAAAACTTTGAACTATCATAATAGACTTTATAATACAAAGTTTATATTTGCAATCTTAGAAAGTGATTATAATCATGATTTATTTAAAATTATTGTAAGTTATGAATTTAAGTATAAAAGATTGATTGTGNTTATCATAACCTTTCTTTGAATTAATACAATACAAAAAGGAGACATAAAATAATGTGTTCTAGCATATATTTAGAAATAATATTTCTAAATAGAAATCAGTACTTATAATTTAAAAGAAATAAATTAATCTAACTTCTACTTTAAAATTCGATATCATTAAAAAAAGTCTTAAATTCTGTTTCTACCCTACATTATCAAGTGATCTCATAAAATTTAGAATTAATTTCTAAAATTTAAAGAATCAATCAATTAAAAAAAAAGAATAAATTAATTTAATATAAATGTATTTACAATTTAAACAAAAATTTATTTATTATAAAACTATATAATTTTCATTTTTAGCATTAAAATCTTTTTAATTATTGAAAACAAATAATTTGATTAAATAGGCAAATAAAATATAAATAGGATCCTTTTAAGAAAAGGTAGTTTAATATTGAAGTAAGGATAAGCTACTTAATTATTATGAAAAGTGCAAATTCAATACACCGCCATCAAGTTTTATTATTTTTTTATTAGAAAATAAAATAACTAATATTCAAAACTATGCTATTGTTATTCTTTTAAGATTTATTGCAATTAAAAAAGAGTTAAACAAAAATTTAATTTGACATAGAAAAAACTCAAATAGATTTGAAAAAAATTTTAAATTAATTATTTTGTTTAATAAAGAATATCTAGATTTATTAACTTAATTATTTTTATAATGATTGTTAATATTAGCATCAATGTCTGTTTTATTCAAAGAGGTCTTTTATAAAAAATAATTGTTAAAATTATTAATTAAGAATTTAAAAGAAATTGAAAATCAGATAATAAGGTCAAATTTTAAATAATAATTAAAAAGAGAAGCTTAAATAATTCAATAAAAAATAGATGATCAAATTTAATTTATTAAATATATGACTTGATTTAAAGAAAAATCTATATATTAGGAAGAGATTAATAATCAATAAATATATCTTTAAATTTTTAATCAAATAAAAGGTTAAAACAATGAATCAGTTTTTAAAACTTTGAACTATCATAATAGACTTTATAATACAAAGTTTATATTTGCAATCTTAGAAAGTGATTATAATCATGATTTATTTAAAATTATTGTAAGTTATGAATTTAAGTATAAAAGATTGATTGTGATAATCTATGTAAATATCTTCATTTACTCAATAAAATTGAATAATTAGAAAGTAGAAACAAACTTAAATATATTACATAGTATGATTAAAATTAAATATTGATTTGATAAATATAAAGATTTTGATTGGTTAATAAAAATTATATCGTATTTTAAAAATTAAATTTTCCCGCTTAATAAAAATTTAAAATATAAAAACATATTGCTGCTCTAAAAATACTAATAAAAGGACAATAATTGTTTTTAGTTAGAAAATGATGCCAAAATTTTCATTATTAGTTTATCATAAATTCAACATAGGTCCAGGAAGAGTTTTATCTTTGGCATCTTCAACTCTTTTGATTAAAGACAAAATATCATAATCTCCAATAATTTTTATTTCATGATCTGACTATATTTAAACTTAAGTCTTTCCATCAATAGTTAATATATTAAGCTATTATATATATAATTTAATACTTTTGCATTTTATGGTAACTTAAATATCATGATTGGAAATTGATATATTTGTATTTATTAACCTTGTAAAAAGTCTGATTCATCTTTTTAGAGTGGTCTAATATAGATATTATTTTATTATAATACTTATTTTGATCTATTAAGGTATTTATTCTTTTTGCTTAATCAGTCAATTTTTAAAATAGTATTTTCTTTCTCTTCAGTTCATCAAATTATTGTTACTAATAGTTATTGATTAATTTACTCTTAACATTTCATATCTATCTCTAGTATCTCTGACATATTTACTAGTCATATGATTCTATTAAAACATCTATCCTTTGATAATGATCTTTTTTTGTTTTTCTAGTACTCCTAGGGCAACCATTACATTAATGGAATCATAAACTCTACGTTTGAGATTTTTACTATCTTACTAAAAAATATAAAAATTTTAATTATTATATTTACAGATAAACTTGATTTACTTATTTCTGAAGCAAGCAAATCTGCCATCTGTTTATAAGTAGTTTATCTAAGTGATCCAACAAGATTGTGAACCTTGCAACTTAAATATTTGAGGCTATGATGTTTTTTTCTTTCTAAAGAATAATTATAAAAATATGGCAAATTATTTACCTTTCTTTTTATTATTACTCTATTATTAGAAATCGTTTTCTTCTTAATCTAAAGATAGCTATGAATATGTATCCTGTTTAATTTAATTTGACATCAGAAATCCTATTGAAGATGGTACTTCTTGGTCTGCAAGTCTTAATAAAGTTATTTTTGAGCCGTCATCTTATATAGATTGACTTTTTTGATCACTTTTGTTTGCACAGTCTGGAATAAGCAATTGTCTAATACATTTTACTTGTGTCTAGAAAATTAATGAATTAATAACTTGTTATTGCATCGATGGCGCTCTAATAAACAAAATTATGTTAATAACATTAAATTTATTCAAAACTCATACTAGATATTAACAAATAATTTAAAAAATCAAAGGCATTCATATAACATCAACAGATGATTAATTTTACCGAATATGATATAATTATTAATGTTAAACATGTTTTGAAGATCATTGATGATAATCTTGATTTATCATTTTTTTATTTTTCTATAAAAAAATATAATTACCTCTATATAGGAATAATACTCATTGTGGTTATTAATTTTTATTATGTGAAACATAGCCTTTTCATTTATTTGATAATGAGATTTAAATTTTTGAAAAATTTTATAACAGATAAAAAATTATAAATTTTAGTTTTATTCTAATTAATAAAAGAATAAAACTTTTTATTTTGATTAAAAAACTTTGATTTCTCTTCAGCAAAGCTCATTTTCTTCTTTCAAATAGCATTTATTTCAACTTTTTTTTAGACTTCACAAATTCATTCTATTAAAATTAGAATTGCTTATAATTGATCAAACATTAAGTATGTGATAACTTATATTAATTGTCAAATAAATCATACTATTTATTGTTGCATGTTAAATAGAAATCCCTTACAAAGTTATTAAATTTTTCGTTCATCCATTCTTCTTTCAAAGATATTTTTCTCCTATAAATTATTAATCTTTAATTCTTATTTTAATTAAATATTTAGTTTTTATAAATTGATTGTGACTTATATATATACATTTAGAATCAAATGTATTCTGTATCTTTAGTTTTCTTATCATAATATTATCAAAATAAACTCTTTTTATATTTTGAAGAATAATGGGAACAAAATAATCAATTTTAAATGATTAATTAATCTATACTTATTATTATCATATTTTCTAAAAGAATTTAATATATTATTATAATAAAATATTTATATTCAAAATAAAAAGACACTAAAGACTAATAAAGTTTATTTTATTTATCTTAATGATGGTAATAAAATCTCAAAATATTTGTTTAATCATATTTTCAATTGCATTTAGTAGATTTGGCTGGATCTGAAAGAATTAGTAAATCTTATATTTAAGTTATTTATTAAACAAAATTAACTATATAAACCATTCATTAACATATTTATAATAAATTATGATATTTATCAATTGGTGGAATAATTGGTCATTCATCAGATCTCATTTTAAATACATAGAAATTCATGAAGTTTGTATTCGAAGACCGAAAATCAAAGTAATTAAAAAATATAAGATAAATTTTAATAATTACATATATTTATAATTATTTTTCAATGTCATGTAAATTTTAATTTGAATATTTTATACTTTTTATTATTTTAATCATTTATTCTTTAACATCATTATTAATTTAAGATATTTCTATATGATTTATGATTTACAATAATATTCAAAATCAAAATCTATAATTTTTAGATGCATTAATGGATTAATTCAAACTGTTGAAATATTTCAAGGATATCATATTAAAGATAGTCACATATATAAATTTTAGCTTCTTCATTTTATCTTAAGTAAATGAATATAAATTTAGGAATATTTTGTAAAAATAGGACTCTATAAAATTTTTAATTTAAGATATTTTTTTGATATTAGAAATCTATACTTTACAAATTCTTAAAGGTTGTTATTTATTAAATATAATCTGACCCTCATTATTAGTAATTCATGACTTCATAGTTTTCTCAATACAAAAATACAATAAATAACCTTTAATACTCGCTATTATATTTCCTTTCTTAATTTTAAGGAGGTAAGCAAAATTTAAATTTAAGAAAAGTTAAGAAATTAGTATAGATGAAGAAAATACTATTGGTAATACTAATATTCCCAATATCATTTGTTGATTATATAGTTTTAAGATTTAGATAATATAGATTGTATAGATTCAAGGTTAATAACTCTCTGTGTAATTGGATTATATCAAAATTAAGATCTCTAATTTGAAAGGAGATCAGATTATTAATCTGTTCTATTCTATTGATCAGGAGTTTATGAATGAGTTTTGACTCTTCTTTAAATTATTGGATTTTTATGAACATCATATTATATTTCCTTTTTTATTTAATTTTCTTGGGCTCTTTCATAGATTTCATATTAAAAAGAAGCCCTTTTTTACTTATTTTTTCCTTACGTGCATCCCATTTTTAATTTTTTATTGTTTATAAATTTAATATCGTAATGATAAATTGATGAAAATTTCAGTTTATTCTGTTTTTGAGTATCATCTAAAAATAGAGATGTTCCATAATAAATAAAAAAATACCTTATAGATATGGAAAAATGTAACTAAATAAAAGAATTATCTTGATAATTTTATCAATTTATTATTAAATTTTATTTATTCTGGCCATTAATCAATATATGATATGATTAATTTTGTTATAAAATTTTAAGATATCATATTTAAATGATTATGATAAATGTTGATAACTATAATTCAACTAAATATTCAATAATATTCTAAATGGAAAAATAGCATTTAATAAACTTTATGGATAAATTTGAAATATCTTTTTATTATCTTTCTTTTTTCAATATACAATATTAATTTAAGTTTTATATTATATTTAAATTGAATTTTACAAATGTATATATAAAGTATTACCTTTGAAAAATTGTTAATTCATAATTGTATTAATTAATAAATTTAAAGTATTCTTTTATCTATAATGACTTTTTTAAATGAAAATTTTTACTTGCATTTTTCAATAATTTAAAGCATAAACAATAATAGTTCGAAATATATTTTTATTATTTAAATAAATGAACAAATATTTTGTTTTATACAAAAATTTGATTATAAAATAATGTTTACTTAGAAACCAAATAAACTTCTTTATTTATTTATATATTATTTCATTTTATTGTTTCAAATTATTATTATATATCTTCATTTTTTCAGTTTAAAGAAAATTATTCCAAAGTTTTTACAAGTGTCACAAATTACTAATTTTATATGAAAGAATCATTCTCTATATATCATTGTATTTAAATAATATATCATAAGTAAAATGTAATATTCCCCATTATTATATAAAGCAAAAGTCACATTATATTAATTTTACTTTAGCTGATTCCACTAATATCATTAAAACTCAGATTCTATATATAATGTTGAGAAGATCTTGAGAATTTACACTCTAAAAAAGGATTGTTTATATAAATAATATTCAACACAATATAAGATCATATATATTCACAATTTTTAGAAGTTTAGTTGTTTCTTTCTAAATAAGAGTAAGTTTATTTTGTCAAAGAGTTCTCCTTTTTTTATGATAGTCTCCTTTAAAATATTGGATTTTTTGGAATTTAAAATAATTTGTTTCTTTCTTAGATTTTTGTTTCATCTGTTATGTTTTTATCTAGGATATTCATAAAATAGTCTATATCCTTTTATTATTTCTTATTTTTGGTAGTACAACAACCCATGTTGAAATTAATAATGATATTTTAAATCTGAATGATTAAATTTATGATTCAGTTTATTCGCATAATAGTCTCCAAATTTTTAATGAAATCTCCATATAAATTATTGTAAAATAAAATGATCTTTAGAATATATATATATATGAAGATGTAAAATAAGATTTAAGATTAAGATAATAGTTAATATTAATTTAATATATCAAGTTTAATTCAATAATTATAGATCTATGGCTTTTCTACTCTTATTATATTTTCCCATATAATTCATTAAAGTAAATTCAAAGTAAGGACCTCCATTTTTTGTAAATTTCACATATTAAGGATTATTCCTAATCTTAAGAATAATGAATACTAATGAACAATTTTATATAGCTTCATTTTTTCTAATGTAATTCCTGCTGCTTAAAGATCATCATAATGTACAAATACATCTGTTCCATCTTCATCAAGTACTAAAAATCCATATTTCTTTGTATCATCATAGAATTTCATTCTTCCTTTTTATCTTAAAATATATAAAATTATGATTACCTTTATAGACTATCATCTAACACATATGGTAACTTTGATGGTGTTTCAATTTTAGGTGTACCAATGTTTAATTTTAAACTCACTCCTGGAGGATTTTATTTCAATAATTAATAATCATCATTGTATTCTTAATCAGATATAGTTAATGGCTTTTGAATAGTAACAGGATATTCAAATTATAATTCCTCTTCAATTTTTTGTTCATCTCTTTTTAAAGAAGAAGATCTCTCGATTTTTCTGGCAACAAATTTAATCATCTTTATAAAAATAAACAATATTTTAATAAGAATAAAGAAATACATTTAATTCTTTATATAATAATTATCGAATATTTATAATTATAGTATTTAATTAAAGCATTCAAAAAGAAAATAAATTTTATAGAAATCCAAAAATAATTAAACATTCTTGTCAAATAAAATAAAATTTAAATATGAGCAATATATATTATACCAATCATATGAGTAATAATATTAGATTGAAACATTATATATTTACAAATATACAAAAATTATAAAGAAAACAATAACAGTTATATTGATAAATTACAATAAGAAACATAAGCCCATTTTCAAGTAAACTAAATAAAGTGAAGGACTTAATAAAAAAAGATTGAAGATGAAATAATGGATGTGAAAAATTAATAAATTGAACATTTTTACAAAATTATTAAACAAATAAAAAAACTAATTGTAGAAGGTTGTTTAATTAAAATAAGAGAACATCTAAATAATAATTAAAATTAGGAGAATAAGATGTTAAAAAATTAGGAAAAATATGAAAAATTATACTCTAAAAAGCACTTACTGAAAGCAAATATTCCAAAAAAATATAATGAGGAATTTCCAGTGTTTTAGATATAGAAATATTATTAAAAAAATTCAAATCTATTAATCATAAATTGACATAAAAAAATGGAAGGCATATTTGAGAAATAAGAAAGACTGACTTTTAAATGCATAAATAACAAACTGAAGTTTAATTAAAAAAATATATTTAAGATTAATTAAATAAAAGTAATTAATATTAGTCAACTATTCATCAATTAAATATGAAATATGTTTCAAATATCGAAAATTATAATTGAGATTAGATTATAAGTAGTAAACAATTGATATCATAAAATATTATTGAGAAAATTATCATAAACAAAACACTTTAAATTTGAAATTATTATCAATAATTAATATATTGTAAATAATTAATAAGCAAATAATAATTAAGTCTACAAAATAAACTTAGAATTTTGATGACCAAAAATGACTAATACAAGCCTTAAATTAAGTGTTTTAAAATAAGTTATCAAATATTTTATAAAAGACATAAAATTAACCACTCAATTTAAATCTGAATAGCAATTTCTACAGATTGAATCAATAATAATAGGCATTCTATAAAATAAGTATTTATCTTGTTCCTTATTGAAATAATCAGATTAAAATTAACTGGATTAATTGAATTATATTAACTAATTAGATAAGTCTAAAAGAAATAAAGTTTTAAATAACAAACCTAAATTGGAAAAGAGTTATTAGATATTGCAGAATAAGAACAATAGTATATAGGAAATAATGAGACAAGCATTTATTTCCTATATACTATATTTTAATTAAAATCAATGATATTAGCTAAATATATGATGTTATCTATTTTCCTTTCTTGATATAAATTAGTCTGCTAATAACTTTTAATAATTTAAATAAAAAATCAGTTGAATTGTTCATGCAAGATATTACTCAAGCTAATTTTACAATATCATCCTTGCATCAACTATAAAAAAGGATTTGAATTCATTTATCTACAATCAAATAGTGTTTAAATTAAAAGCCACAAATAACTGATAAAATCAATAATTTTAAAAGTATATTTTTAACTATATTATAGAATCAAATAAATACTATATAATAACTTAATTATTATTCTTTATTAATTAAGTTCCAAATCTGAATGTATATTATGTACTCCATTTTGTTTTATTGAATTTATAGAAATTTGATTAATTACATATGATTAGTCTATAAAAAATATAATTATAAAGTTAATGGTGACTCTAGAATGTATATACATCTTTTTCTTTGTGCTAAGATATCAGTAAATTTTGGTCAGCAAAAAAATGATAAAATGAAGAATTTAGTTTGTTTTTTTATTTTTTTATTAAGTATGTCAAATTCTTTGAATTATTTCATTATAGAGAAGAGTATAAACAACATAAGTTAGAAATATTTTTTAGCTTCATTAATGATGATGTTGCAAAAAATAATTTTTTCATATTCCCAAATAATACAATTATTATATTCCAATGCTATCTCACTTAATATATATCAAACAAAACACTTTTTAAAAATAAAACTATAGTCAGCCTTAAAAAAATTTTATGTTAAAAAAAATAGGACTAAATTTTGATTTTTATCTTCCCTTAGATATTAACAGTCTATTCTTGTAAGAAGAAAATCGCTACTATAAGGAATAAATCTTGTTTTCCTAATAACATGTAGAGAAGATACATTTAATTTTTGAGTATGTAAAAATTAAAACTGAGATTAATCAAGATATTAAGGGGTATAAAGGGGCTCTAGAATTTGAAGAAGAATATTAATATTTATAAAACATTTTCATGTTTATCATTGCATTTACAAACATGTTACTTTTGCTATTAAGCAATAATGTTGAAGGTAATAGGATCAAATATTATTGTAGCCATGATGATGGACTCTTCAACAGATTCAACTTCTGATGCAGTTGTAATTTTAGCTGCTTCAACTATTTTAGGATAAGAAAATTCTGGACTTTAAGGTTCTGCCATGGGTGGAACAACAATATATATGAAAGTAAGAGAATAAATATTCTTCTAGGTTTAAGGGTTAGATTAGACTGCTAGCAATAATGCAGTGTACATTGGTAAATATCCTTGTGTAATCTCTGACAAGGGGGTCAATGGATTGTTCATGAACTGCAAAACAACAAAACCAGATTCAGATGACAATAACTTATCTGGCTTATAAATTGTTGTTAAGGTATCAGGTAAACCAGACTCCGTATGTGCTTCCATTTCATCAAAATGCCTTTATAGTTACTCTCAATATTATACACCAAAATTATTTTATGTTAGTCCCAGATCAAATTATCCCAGAACTCTAAGCTATTGGAGAGCTAAGTGGACTGTGTCTAGCAATCTGGTTTAATATCTTGAAGGATAATTCATGGGGGCTAACAGATGTGATAGATTCACAGTTTTAGATTTGTACCCAGATGAAATTAATTTCTGGGATGATTAAGTTGTATGTTAAGTTTCAGCTGAAATCAAAGCAGGATATTATGATTATACTATTAAATCATAAAGTGGATATCAAACTAATGATGTAGGAGTTAAATAAAAAAAAATTTATTCTGATTAAACATATGACTCAAAGTATTGAATATTCTTAATTTTTAGAGTTCTTCCAGTTATTACAGGAATAAATACAAATTTCGCATCTCCAGAAGGTTAAATCTTATAAATATCAGGATATGGATTTAGTCCAATAGCTACTGAGAACACAGTTAAAATTTCAGGTCAATCTGAATCAATTTAAGTTTTATCCTCAACTCCTACTACTATACATGCTAAGATACCAAAACTAACAAATTTACCAACTGTTGCTGATGCTACTGAAAGTTCTGTTTATATTTAAGGAAGTGGATTACATTATACTAGATGGGATATTTCAGGATTGAATTTAAATTGTGCTTCATTTAGAACTTAAATCATTACTAATTAAGCTTAATTAGATAGTAGAATTCAATTTGATGGTATATATCCAGAACCTGATGTCTAAAATTCATTTGGAGAATATTATGGATAATATTTTAGAGGTTTCTTAAAAGCACCATTTACTGGAAATTATAGATTTTATGTTGCTTCAGATGATTGTGCTTAATTCTTTATTTAAACTTCTCAAGTTAAATAACCAATTAGACCTGATACAGAAATTGCTGCAAGTGGTTGGAATCCATATAGAAATTATTGGTATGAATATTTGAGTTCTTCAAACACAATTAAAACTATATCTGAACCTGTAGCTTTATAAGAAGGTGAATTTTATTACATAGAAGCTTATCATCTTAATGGTGGATCAGGTGGATATCTTACTCTCTCTATGGAAATTGAAAGTTCAACTAGAAAATCAAATTCATTAAACAGTATTTATGAAATTTCAACATCCTATACACCAACAAAAGAAGTTATTGAATTCACTTTATATAATTCAAATGGAAATACTTTATTAGCAGGTAAGTATTAACTTTAATTCACTTTTGGTACTAAGACAACTCCATAAACAGGGGTCTATTATTCTTATATTACAGGAGATTTAGCACCAAATGCTAATGCAAATACAATTAAAAATGCAATTTAAAATTGCGGTGGAAAATATCTAGTAACTGTAATAGCCACAAAATTAGATAATACTGGAGCTCCTTTAGATGATGCAGCAACAGTATTTGCTGGATATAAATATACGATTACATTTGATTCTCATAGAGGTACCATTTAATATAGAGCACTTCCAAAGGTTATCTCATCTACTCTTAATGGAGGAACAGTCTCATAAAAGATTGAAAGAACTTAAGAACCTCTTGATCCAATTAGTGGAACCTTTTAATTAACAATGACTATCAATGGAATTGATACTTTATTCTAAGTATCAGATAATAATTATGATTTACCTTTTGATGCATCATCATCATTAATTGCTGATAACGTTGAAAGAATCACTGGTTAAAGACCTTTTGTATGGACTTTTGGAAGAGCTTAAGATGGATGGAAATGGTACATTATTCTTAGATCACATGTGGAAGGACTTACTAACTTATAAATATCAAGTAGTCTCTTAGTTTCAGGTACTGGTGATGTAACTACTGCAGTGTCTAAACCAATTCCAGATAGTAATAATTTATTATTTGAACCTATTCCAAATGAATTATTATTCACTTATAGTCAACATCCTTAAGTTTAAGTGGAAGTTCAATATGAATTAAAGGTAAACAATGTTGTTGTTGAAACTGAATAAATTTTATCAGGTTGTGAATAAGTAGATGTATGTGATTTCACTTTAAGTGATGAAAAAACTCCTACCTTAACAGCTTATACAGTTACTGGATCTCAATTATCATTAACTTTATCAGAAGGAGTTGGATTACCAATTACTAAACCTGACTTAGAAATATCATATGCAGGAGCTGATTGTACAAATATTCAATTTACTACCAATACATCCCCT